CCGACAGTGCCCGAGCCAGAGCCACCGATGGAACCGGAGCCAGAGCCGTGACCAGAGACGGAGCCAGAGGCAGAAGCAGAGCCGGAGCCATGGCCACCGGTGACATCGGTAGGGCTGACACCGCTAGGACCGGTGCCCGAAGGAGAAGGAGAGCCAGAGCCACCGACAGGAGAAGCGCCAGTGGGGGTGGCGGGAGCGGTGGAGGCAGCGACGGGGGCAGTGGATGGGCTGGAGATGAGCTTCGTGGTCGAACCGGAGCCGGGGGTGATGGTGGGGGCACCCGGAATGCTGCAGCCGGTGAGCCATTCGATGATGAGGAGGTTGAAGCTGCTGCTGATCTCAATGTCAACAGCACCACCGAGGACGGCGGCCAACTCGGCACGGGCCTCAACGGAAAGGTAGACGATGCTCTCGCCGGAAAGGAGGAGCCAGAGGGTACCACGAAGGCCGGATCCGAGGGATGCCTCAATAGTGCCGGTAAGGAAGGCCTCGAGCTCAGTGATAAGGCTGGTGGAGATGTCAATGCTGACTTCGGTGACAGAGAAAGAGAGCCAGAGGTAGAGAGCGGCCTTGAGTTCGGCTCCCAGGCTGCAGCTGGAACCGGACAACCAGACGGCCAAGGCCGCACGGGCATCGGCGGAAACGGAGGTGGCGAGCTTGCCGGCAATACAGGCCTCGAGGACGGCCTGAACATCGGCCTCAATGTCAGCAGAAACACTGGACTCAAGGAAGGCAGAGATGTAAGCTTGGGCAGTCGCGGTAAGAGCACCCTCGCCTTCAATCCAGGCGCTGATGGAAGCACCAACGGAGACGGCAGTAACACCGCCAGTGGGAATGGAACCGATGGCAACGACACCAGTCTCAATCTTGCCCTCCAACCAGGCCAGGATGGCAACCTTGAGCTCGGCACTCAGGGAGCAAGACGAGCCATTGAGCCAGATCTTCAAGGCGGCGGCGAGATCGGCGTGGAGATCAGCATGAACACCACCACCCGCGCAAAGAGAAAGACCAGCGCGGAGGTTGGCATCCAGCTCAAGACCGACGGAGCCGGAGATGAACGCGGACAGCGAAGACTGGAAGGAAGAGCTGAGAACCACGCCGGCCTCAAGGGTGGTGACATCAAAGATACCGTCAATGGTCACGTAAAGGTCACCGGCGGCAGCCGTCTTGGCGCAAGTAGGAACGAACAAGGACAGCCCGGCGCACACTTCGGTCGAGAGAGTTGCTGAAGCCTCACCCTCACACCAGGCGAGGAGCTCGGTCTTCAGAGAAGCCTCGAATCCAGCATGAGCGCGGATCCAGGCGGCCAATTCGGCACGGATGTCGGCATCAATCGCACCGGCCTTGCAACCCAAGGCACCTCCGTTGAGGGCAGCGGCAGCCCGGGCACTGATACCAGCAAGGACGGATGTTGAGCTTTTTCCACCGCCGAGGATATCTTCAACGATGGTCGTCAGGTCCTTGCCGAATTCGGACAGGATCTCAACGGCGAGACCAAGAGTGCGGGGGTCTAGATCCTTGGTGTCCTTGGTGGGAAGAGCGAGGACATAGTTCGCCAGACCGGCGAGGAGAAGAAGCTTGCTGGAACGCATGATGCCAACGAAGCGAAGGGGTATCAGGAAAAGGTCGATAAGGTAATAGCGAATGTCGATCACGAGTCAATCGGGATGGAACGATATAAAACAATAAGAAAGAAGGAAAGAACTGATGAGTATGGCCGGCACTAGGGCAGCCTGGTCAGGTTAACGACAGACAGGTGTAAATGATAGACAGGGAAAAAAACAAAATGAAAGACAGAACCCCAAACGACAAGCGAAAGGAAGTGACTGACAAAGGGCTTGATGTCCGTTCAAACGAGGTGATCATCATCGAGGTATATATACCCCTGGGGACGGGGGACACTTTCCCGTGCCTGCTGGGCCGGGGGCCGATGGAAACCTGCACAAACCCCCAGTCTGGAACCAACGAATGGAGCAGTGCAGCTTGCTAGAGCATGTTGGTCCATCTGTGATCGAGGGACCCGGATCTTCGAGACCAGGTTAGCCAGGTGGAGCAGCCGGGTGCCAGTGGAAGACTAGAGAAGCGAACCAGACCCGACTACCGTTGAATGTGGGCTCATCCGAAACAGACTAAGCAAAAAAGAAAATACTATTTCAGGCAACGGGGGATTGCTAACTAGGAAAGCATTAGTTCCGACTTTGTGCGGGTCACAGATGGCCCTTCCCGTCCGTGTTATTTTTTTTCTCTAGCCCACGCAGTGGACGCCGTAAGCAGGGGGAGAAGAAGGCTAGGCCAGTAGGCCAGTAGGCTAGCAGTAGGCCAGTAAGCCACAGCACCCCAAGCCAGCCACCATCTCGGAGGGTGGGCGGACAACGGAGAGTTGGAGGAGGCACCGTTGTCAGGGCAAAAGCCCCTCATTAAAGACGCTAATGTCTGAAGATAGGGCACCGAGCAAAAACGGTGAGCAATTTGGAATCCAGCAGCTCGTGGACATGTCGGAACGGGATTGACTGAGAGGAGGGAGACCATCAGCCGTAAACCGTAATGTCAGCATCCCCGATCGACTACTTAGCCTCGCAGACATCAGCATCGTCGGCTCGAGAAATCATCATCGGCACAGATTTGTGGGGAAATGAGCGACCGACAGCCAACCCACACGGGATGCAGTATTGAGAGTCTGGAACTCTGGATGGGTGTTGGATCATCACAAGCCATGCAGGAGCATGCATCACGATGGACAATGACGACAAGGCGACAAGCATAGACCGTAGTAGGATAATAGACTAGCAGGCTAGCAGGTCGTGTATGGGAGAAGCGGAACCAGACAGGCTTGAATGGAAGGCGACCATGGACGCGACCCATGGACGATCATCTCAACCGGTGTTTTGTGAGTTTTGTCCCTGAGAGTTTTAGTGTCCACGGAAAAGGGCAAAACATGAAACTCCCCCATTAAGCCCAGCTCCTCTCCACTTTGGGGAGGGCTTTTCTGAAAGTCAAGAGTTCGGACATAAGAAAAGAGGCGCAGGAGTCAAGAAACCTAAGAGTAAGTCTACTGCATCAAAAAAATGGGAGGGGTCGGAGGAGGGAGATGAATAAGCAATCGCCCCATCCACACGATTTTGTGACAGATGCAAGTTGACTGGTCAGACTTTCTGTCCGGAGACTTGCAGAATTTCACGTCCAACGGAGAAAAAAATAAGCAAAAGAAAATTAGAAGAGGAAATGAGTAGCAGTAAGTGAAAAAGAAAAACAAGAAATACAAATTGGAATATCTAGCAAACATGCACCTACTCCGTACATAGTAACACACAGGCATCCATTGGGTGGCAATGGGACCACTCAACCCAAACAAACACAAGTATAGATCTTATCTCTATTGACTGTACATACTGGTACTCGACTTCATGCTCTGGATACTCAGCTCAGAGCTCAATTTGCATCTTCCGACTTGGCGGCTCAGTATGTGGTCGGTGTCAATAAGGGTCTTCCTCTGTACGCCCCAAATATAGTACCTCAATTTCCCTCAGGTTGGCGGAAGGACTGCCGTTACCACTACAGAGGTTCAAACAAGCCGGCTGTGGCTTGCTACTGAATAGCGTGGTGGACAGCTAGGCAATCACCTCCTGTCGAGGAGGAGGCGTTCGTAGCAATTTAGTACAGGTGTACGACCTGCCCCATAGCAGACCAAAAAGGTACTCCAACAGAATCATGACGCCTCTGTAATGTAATGTGAGTGCATAGTCAACCAGAGTGTTGTCATTGGTATGGAGGAGGTGATTGTGGAGGCATTGGAAGGTGCAGCATTAGCGTGTTAGTCGGTGCTCTAGCGTCGGGTTCCTAGTCAGGGACAGAAAGCTGAGGATGCATAGTCAAACTAGGGCCGTCGTTAGCGTGCACGAACAAACACAAGCTTGGATGCAGCAACAAGAGCTGAAATACAATCAAACAATTCCATCCATCGAAAGCCATGCATCTGCGTGAGACCTGAACCGTAGAACACTGCGGGCTAGATTTTCGATGATCAAGATGGGTGTGTTGTCGATGCTAGCCAGGAAGCCAGGGGTAATCTTTGCCCGAACAGGCGTTCCTGACCCAAAGTGCTTATACCCTTGGTTACGTTCTTTTGGGGGGCTCCAGTCCCCACCTCGACTTCGTTTCCTCCCAATGGCCTGAGCTGCCGGCTGCCCGCTTTACCCGATCCCTAGTTGAAGCACAAGTCCGGAGAGAATTGCAGACTGGATGCCCCTCTCCCCTCTTGCTCCCCACCTTTCGTTCCCCCTGTGACCTGTGACCATCATAGTCAAAGGGTCAAGGCGCATCTCAAATCTTAACAGCCATTGTGCAAGCTCTGGAACAAAATAGTTGACTCGGAAGTGTGGTGCAGTGCTGGACTATAGGAACTTTAATTGGGGCAGCAAGAGTCATGTGTTTTGCGGAAGTGTAGGTTAAAGACTTTGACTTGACCCGGTTTTGAGCGAACCTCGGGAGGTTTGCCTGATTTGAATCATTATTGACTGACCAGACCAGATCCGACCGGGTTACCCCTGGAGAACAAACCTGCAACTGAAAATTGAGCCAATCCGAAATGGAATAGGCGACCAGAAGCTGAAGGCGCGATGGTACACTGTTGCTAATAGTAATAGTAGGTAGAAGTCGGGGCAGTTTGGACGAGACTATGGAATTGGTTGTGGTCCGTGAGAACGGAGAGATTCCGACAGAGAGGGAGATGCGGATATCAGGTGATCTGCCTGCTTGCCTTCTTGCTTCTACCGGTGCGCTCTTAATTTTTGCTTTTCTCCTGTTCGGAAGAGAGCCACCTTCACGTCGCCATGTTTCATGCTGGGACTAGTCTCGTCGTACTACCAGTCTACTCGTACCACTGAGTCACTGACTCTGGCCTGTTATTCTTAGCCTTGCCTCTCCACGGTTCATCGATCATTCTCAAAAAACCGATCTAAGACTATTTGCCCTGGCAGTCCCAAACTCTAAAGTGCAGCCAGCGGCCAGCCTATGTCAAAAGCCACGAGACTGTCGTGGCGGCTTTCTACGGAGTACTGTTATCCAGATAGGGGCTATCAGTCCGAGCAGGACAGAATCGTTGCTGCTGCCGTTGCTCGTGAAGATGAATGTCCATTAAGCCACATCCCATGCTGATTACTTGACATCTACAGTATACTAATGGACGTTCTCGCAGCCTGAGTCTTGCTTCAGCAGATCAGCAGAGTGTGGGTCTCCCTTCCGAGATTTGACCGGATCGAAATCGCAAAACAAGAGATAGGGCAGGTGTGCATCGGTGGATATCCTATCCACTTCAGCAATCCAGGACGGAACTGCGTCGTCTGCTCTAAGGCGGAAGGTCGGTAGGTCACGTCACATCTCCATGCTCGATACTGGCAGGTGTGCCAAATGTGGCTAGGTGCAGGAGAATTTGCGGCTTGTTCTCCAGGCAAGAAGCTATGACCATTCAACTTGCAGTGACGATCAGGATGTCGTGCCTCAGAAACGACACTACCTAGCAGGTCACTTGGTCTGCCTCTGCTAATTATATCACGGATGGAGCTTTGCGCGGCGGCTTTGCTGAAACGCGTCGGGCTGACGTTGACAACTTGGCTAGTCAGATATTCTTGGAAGGCCTCTTTTGACAGGTGAAACAAGGAGAAGGAGGATGCACAGCTTCGCACTCAAGGAAGAGGGAGGCCTAGATATCCAGGTATCCTGAAGCGGCGTCTGACCTGTTGCAGTTTCGACAAGACAAGTATCTTCTCAGTGTCTGGTCTGTCTCTTGTTGTCTCTTCATGGCACCCTTTGACCGCCAACCGTTGGAGATTGAGAGGACACGACTTGTGATCTGGATGGGTTCACACCCACAGACTGCTGAGGAGGTGGGTAGTAGCCATGGCCGGTGTACCATAGCTCTCTTGCAACTTTTTCGTAGTAATCGTGACAAGCTGCCCATTACATCAAATCTGAGATGTGAGAGTGAGACGAACGGCTATTCTCAAATCCAGGCTTGCACGGAGAAGTCGAGTCCCGTGTGCAATAAATGTGGAAAAGTGGTCTTGGTTGCAGTAATCATTTGTATGATGCAAATGCTGTAGTATGCATATACAAATTTTGAAGCAAGGTCGATTTTTTCTATTTGCACCCTGGCCCCCAAAGATCAAGTTCATGGCCAAAGAGCCTAGTAAGTAGCTAGGCATCTTCTATTGAAATTGCACACATGTGAGGATGCTCATAATTAAGACTGTCCAGACATCGAAATTTTCTGCAGATATATATAGTGCCTGCAGAAGTGTCATCTCCACATCCACAAGTCCAAGTATGAGCAAAGATCTCGGGTATGCAGATGTAATTGAACAAGCATATAAGGATATTAAACCGCTATGGTTATTGGTTTACAATAGGAATGACACAATGCCCAGACCCTTGATGATGCGGTGTGCAGCAGGGCCAGTGCATGGCCGGTGATGCTGATTTGCGGGCATTTAATATGTATCATTCACCGCGTTTATATATGTAGCTAAGAGTGCAGGACGTACTTCGCTCCTCCGACTCCATTTGCATTACCACGAGATCGAAAGGAGGTTTGATGCAATTTACCGTACTACAGATGCAGGCTGTATCGATGCTGCCACCAAATTGCATCGAAATTGTATTATTGATGCAGTGTATTGTAGTGTGTGTGTACCGTGCAGAACGCAGACTGCAGCGGCAGCCGATTGTTGTTTGGGGGCGCGATTGCCCGGGGCAACGGGTGAACCCCACGTGACTTGGGTGCTCCCAGCCTCGCGCATTACGGCGCAAGTTCCATGTTTCCAATGTTTCCATGCCAAAAACGACGACAAAACACCAAAACTACCCCGACCTCCGACCTCGACATACTAACCCCTCACAGCAGGCACTTGGATCGTGCTTCTGGGAGGAGCCTAGGCCCGGACACTCTCTGGTGGACATGTCTATGCGACTTTGTCCCCAATTGTCATGATGGCCTCTCCTCATTCCTCCTCAACAGCAGCAGCAGCAACGTACAACACCCGGCTGCAGCGCCAACCTTCCTCCCGTTCAATGTCCCGCGCCGCGTCTCGCTCAGGATCCAGACGGACCTCACCAGAAGTGCGCAACTCACTCGCCTACCGTCACAGTGTATCCGCTGGGCAGTATGCCGCCGGCGACAGCTCGGATGAGGAGGTTCCCGAACCCAAGTTCAGCGCGTCCGTCAAGGCCTTACTCGACGAAGACGGACTCGACCTGTCGCCGCGCTTACGCAACAAAAACCTGGGCTCGGCAGGTTCAAGCCAAGAGAGGCGCTCGCGCACCACCTCGCCCCTTGAGCAGTCGAATGGAAGCCCCGCGCCCCGGGTGGTTCGGATCGCTCCCTCGCTCAGCGGCCGGAGAGAAAGCTCGCCGTTAACACAGACCGAAAACGCCGAACATAGCGAACGAAACCACGTACAGAATGATTTCATTACGCCCGCACCGCGCACACGGAGCGTCCGTATCAATGCATCGCGCAGCAACACCCGGTCGCCTGCATCCCTGTCGCCGTCCCAGAGGCGATCGGCCGAAAGGAGCTACATCGACGACCAGGAGCATGGGAGCGCGACACGCTCAGGGGAGAAAAGCTACGACGATGACTATGCTCCGCGGCTGGGTACCGCATCCGTGCTCCGCACGCGAAACATTGAAGATATGGGCATGCACAGCTCACTGCGCGTCAAACGGGTCGGCCGACTGACCGGTACTTTCCTCAATGGGCCTGCGCGGAGAGGGGTATTACGACGCCAGAGTGAAGAAAACGAGATCCGAGAGACCGATTATGATGAAAATAACGATAACGACCACTACCACTACAAGAATACAGCGAAATCCTCCTCCCCCAAAGTCTCGTGGGCCGACCCGAGCCCGCCGACGAGAAGCGAGGAACGCCGTGACCGACACCGCGACCGGGATGTCATTGGCGACGGCTTATTTTCCAGATCGTCTTCTCCGAAGTCGTATGGCTCCCACTCCAAGTCCACCCCTGGCTCTTCGTCGGAAATGTCATCAAAACCGTCGAGCGCCAAGGACCAGCCGGCATTCAAAGTACCTCCCCCGCCAACGTTACCTTCGAATCGTGACCAGGAGAATGAGCCACCACCGACCTTCAAGCGGGTCAAACCGCAAGGTTTCAACCTGCTTGACAAACCTGTGGTCTACGAGGAAGAAAAGAAGGAGAAGGAGAAGGAGACGCCCGCAGACCGGAAAATCCTAGCCACGCGAAGCAACAATACCCCTCATCGACCAGCTCCGCCTCCCCCCAAAATGTCTGTTCTGGAAACTGCCACAGCTACCGGTGGAGCAGCTACAGCATCTCAGTCTCGCAAGAAGCGCAATCAAGTTTCAGTGAACCACAAGCCTTTCACACGGCTAGATTGCGTTGGCCGTGGAGGAAGCTCTCGTGTCTATCGTGTGATGGCTGAGAATTACAAGATCTTTGCCCTGAAGCGCGTTAATCTCGAAGACGTCGACCCCGTGACTTTGGCCGGTTACAAAGGCGAGATCGATCTGCTCAAGAAGCTTGAGAACCTGGACCGCGTCGTGCGTCTCTTTGACTGGGAGTTGAATCAGGATAAGCACACTTTGAGTGTACTGATGGAAATCGGTGAATCCGACCTTGAAAAAGTGCTTACTTATCGACTGAACGCGGAGGATGCACGATTTGATATCAATTTCACCCGTTACTACTGGAAGGAGATGCTCGAATGCGTGCAAGCAGTACATGACTACAATGTCGTGCACTCCGATCTGAAGCCTGCCAATTTCCTGCTTGTTCAGGGCCGACTGAAACTCATCGACTTTGGTATCGCAAATGCAATCCAGGACAACACCGTCAACGTGCATCGCGAGCAGCAAGTGGGAACGCCGAACTACATGTCCCCCGAGGCTCTGATTGACTCCAACGCCTCCCTCGGCTTGCCGGCAAGCGTGGGGAAGATGATGAAGCTGGGTAAACCCAGCGACGTCTGGAGTCTCGGATGTATCTTGTACAAGATGGTCTACGGCCAGCCCCCGTTCGCCAAGATCGCCAAATACTACGAACGTATCCTGGCCATCCCGAACCCCAACGTGAAGATCGACTTCCCCGGCTTCGCGATCGGAGGCGTCCCCGTACCCCCCGGTCTGGTTCGTACCTTGAAACGATGCCTTCAAAGAGACCAGACCCTCCGGCCCACTGTCGAAGAGCTCCTCAGCCAGCGCGACCCCTTCCTATACCCCGACGCGCAGCTCGAGGTCGCAGTCCCCGTCACGCAAGATATGCTCAACCGGATTCTGGTTAATGTGGTCAACCACTGCCGTGTCCGCGGCATCCCGAAGGACGAGGAGCTTGCCGCCTGGCCGGCCGGTTTCTTTGCCAAGATCAAATCAGCCCTAGAAGAGGGTCCCTAGACTAACCCACACCCGATTGATCGTGCCCAGTGGTTCCCTGTCATACTCTCTGTGTCTCTGCATACATACCCTCTCACATAATTCCCTATGTCCTCTGATTGAAAGCCCCCGCACTTGTTTGGTATATTACCCATTATCTTGATATCCTGATTGAACCCGGCGTTGTCTAGTCCACCATCACCACAGATTGGGGTGACGGTTGCGACCTTTTTCTTCTTTCTTTCCTCCATCTCCCTTCTCTTCTCTTCTTGTTTCCCCTTATCCCATTCTTGGACCAACCCTTTCTTCTCGTTTCCTTCTTCTTACCCTTTGCCCCCACGCTTATTTTGGATAGCAACCAAGCACTGGGACGGCTTCCAGGGGTGATTTTATTATTGTGTGTGTCTGTCGCGCTTTAGCCCTGTTTGATCGTTTCTTATATCTGGTTGGGGTTACCATTGGAAAGCTCCAGCAGCAAGAGAGCATGGTGTATTCGGAGTTGTTTGTACTAGGTTTACAAAGATCTTTCTCTTCGTCTTCAATAATCTGGAATAGTATGGTTTCCCTTCGTTAATATTTTACGAGCTCAAGACACTTGTTTGAATTCTCTCTTCGATGGGTGCATTGCATTGTGTTGTATGTTCTAGATACAAGTTGAGAAATGTGTTGGTGTCCATAGAGGTGGTGCAAGAACTGGTAGGAGAGGGAGTGTGATTGCGATCAGCTTGTATGGGTTTCATGATTATTCTCTTGATCCAGAAACCCCATAGCAACGAGGCCGACGAGCGACCTGTCAACCTGTTTCAGAGGACCATAAACTGTTACTGAGGTACTGTACTACTTGTAAACCGCATTTCCCTGCAGCTCTTAAGTCTCCGAGTTGACTTTCGAAACGATTGATTGAGTATCGATTCATCAACTGGAGGATAAATTCGTTTTGTGTATCTAGCTAACTACTATGTATATATGTTGAGGTACGATTCAAATAACGGGAATCTCTTTTCAGGAAAGATCGATCAGAAGAAACGAGCAAGCAAGCACACTTTGCGCGCCACTAACGCCACACACACCCCAATGAGAAAATTCACTTCACTTGAAGCACAAACGCAACGAGACGGTACGATGGAAAAAGCACAAACCGACGCAGGTTATAGGAAAGACGGGGAAACAGCCGTTGTTGTCATGATCGTTGACATGGGAGGGTGAGAACGGGGTTTTGATTTAGTTGAGGAGGACGGCGCTGTGAGGGATGGTTAGGATACGAGGGTTATGAGAGGTCGAGAAGGCAGGGAACTAACTTGACAGTACCGTCGAGGTCGGGGTTGTTGGTGACCTGGGCATATTTACCCCAAACGACCTGCTCGCTGTTAGATTTGGATCTCGCATGCACAGAAAAGGAGGGGTGTGGTAGCTTGCCTTTCCGGAGGTGGTGACGAGGCCCAGCTCGGAGACGTTGACTTCGAGCACGGTACCCTTGGTCAAGACACCCAGCTGAGTGTAAAGAGGGTTCTGGGGGTTCTTCTTGACGGACAGGATGGGGAGTTGGACGGTGACACCGAGCTCAGGGCTGAGAAGATTGAAGATAATAGCGTTAGTATTTAGCGGAAGGTGTGCTTGACAAATCCCCGGTCGGTTCTAAGTGGCGTTCGAGAATCGAAACGACACACAAGCGATAGGAAGAGGGAGAGAACGTACTGCGTGACATTGGCCTTCTTGTAACGCAGACCCATGGGGCGGATGAAGCGCTCGTACTTGACGGGCCGACGGGTGAAGTCATTGCCGACGAAGGTGGGCTTGGTGATCATGCGCTTCCAGGACTTCTTGTGGGTCTTCTTGCCGGTGTTGACGACCTTGAACATCTCCTCCTCGCTGATGCCCTTGACCTTGGGCAAGGGGACGGCGAACTTGGCGGCCTTCTCGTTGCGCTTGTCCTTGATGGCGCTGGACAGGGCCTTGGCGTTGGTGGCCTGCGAGCGGTCGAGCAGGTACTGGGGCAGGGGCGTCTTGGAGGGCTCCTCAGGGGCGGAGGACTTGACGTTCTTCTCCTCCTGGGCCTTGATGCGCTTGCGCATCTGGATCTTCTCCTTGTGGCGCTGCTGCTGGTACAGCTTGGCCCTCAGACCGCGCAGGTTCTGGGCATCCTTGGACTGCTGGTGGACCTCACGGGCCTGCTTCTTGCGGGCGCGCTCATCGTGATCGAGACGCTTACCGTGCTGTTTCGTCCAGCGTTCGATATACCTGTTTTCATGGTCAATGATTTTTTCGCCGGATGGCTCGAGAAAGGTGCGACGAACTCGTTCTGAGGCTGTTCATTGTGGAAGAATAAATCGTTAGCAGAAAATCCCTCAGGACAAAATCGAATCAGCAGCAACATACCATGTTGAGAAAGCGGCAAAGGCCAACGACAAAATCAACACAAAGGGGGGAGGTCTGATAGCAAGCAAGCAAGCCAGCAAGCAAAAAGGGAAGGATTGGATACAAAAAAGTTCGGAGAGGGAGGGGCTTGGCGGGCCGACCGATAATAAGTCACGTGGCCCAACTTTATCGTCCCGTCCGGAATTTCTCTCTCCTGTGGAAAGAAAGCGCTTCTGGTTTGCTGGATCGGTTGGTTGTCCCCATTGACCAAAAAGCAGGGAACAATCGCTATTGCTTGCCTTCAAGTGAGCCTCGTCAGATACACACGACGATCAAAAATGTTCTCCCGCACTGCCCTCGCCAGGGCCTTCGCCATCCCGACAATGGAGCAACCATGCGCCGCCGCCGCACGCTTCTCCGTCGCCCGGGCCTGTCTTCACAGCAGCGCCGCATCACCAGCACCAGCACCAGCACCAACAACACAAACACAAACACAAACAACACACCCCGAATCCCCCCTCTCCGCGACCCCACGAGCCCAAACCTCCACGCCCGCGCCCACCCCTTCCTCCTCCACAATCGACTTCAAAAAACCCGTGGCCCCAACCTTCACCGCGCCGCTGCAACTCACGCCGACGCTCCTCGCCCAGCTCCCGCAACTCACCACCCAGCAGCCGCACTACATCATCTCGCACCTGCACGACCGGCCCTACCTGCTGACGCAGGGCGACTCGATCCGCCTGCCCTTCCTGATGCCCAAGGTGAAGCCGGGCGACATCCTGCGCTTCAACCGGGCGTCCGTGCTGGGGTCGCGCGATTTCTCGCTGAAGGGCGCCCCCTACGTCGATGAGCGGCTGTACGAGTGCCGCGTGCGCGTCGTGGGCGTCGACTCCGAGCCCCTCCGCGTCAAGGAGAAGACGAAGCGCCGCCGGCGGCACGTGCAGATGATCCGGAGCAAGCACAAGTACACCCTGCTGCGGGTTATGGATGTCAAGATTAAGACCGCGGAGGAGCTGTTGCGCGAGGGGGCGGTCGTTGCTTAGGAGGAGTTCCTACATCGTGATGAGGGACTCGAAAATTGTTACTTGCGGGTTCGGGATTTTTTGGGTTGGATGCAGTGACTGTTCACATGGGGCTGTTGTTGGATGGGAAAGGGAGACTGCCAGAGTGAGAAAGGCGAAGACTGGGCAAGAGGTGGATGGTTAAGATGGTTGGAACCTGCAATTGCGAAGGATTATGTACAGATAGAAAGTGGGTGTCTGTTTCCATGCACCAAATGGTGCACTTGTATTGTATCTCATAATTGGGTTTTTCGAATGTTCAACGTGCTTTTCTTCTTTATGTCTGAGGACGGGGTAGATTTGAGACTCTCACTCAGCAGACAACGCAGATTCTTCTGGTGTCGACAATACCCAACCAATGAAAGCAATGCTACGGATTTATGTCTCCTCGGGGCCCGGAGTGATTAGCCATGAGTCAAGCATTGACTACGGCACCCTCCGCAGCATGATCAACAGATGGGCTACGCTTAGAGACTGGTGTCTAGGAAGGGTCCAGAAGATCTTTTAAGAATGGTTTATATACAAAACCCCAAAGTCGGCACACGAGGGCAGTCCACCGCACCACAGCTATGAGCTGGAATTAATGCTTGCTTGCAGTACCTCATCTGCAATCTTCTCAGCCAGGGCGTAGACAGTTGCCTGCGGATGACCCGGTGGCAGGAAAGGAAAGCTGCTGATATCAACAACCCGCAGGCGTTGCACTCCAAAGACTCGGGCCGCATTGTCGATGACTGCCATCTTATCGTCCTTTTGTCCCATCTTGCACGTGCATGAGGCATGGTTGATCGCCGACACATCTTGTCTGAGGAACTCGCGCACCTGATAATCCGTCTCCACTTCGGATCCTGGCACGCACGTTTCCAGGTCGATAACTCCAACCTCAGCAAGATGGGTCCAAACCTCACGACTGCGCCTGAACGCTTGGATTGAAGTATTCATGTCTCTTGGGTCAGCAAGCCACTGTGGATCAATGATTGGCGGCGTGGACATGTCTGGACTGGCTAACGAGACCATTCCGCGAGAGAACGTAGCCTGAACTATTGATCCCATGGCAATGGTGTAGTTTCCCTCAGAAGCATCGGTGCCTCGGCTGACGCCACTAAGTGCCCATTCAAGCTCGGGCCAGTCCTCGGGAAAGTCTGCAAGACTCTTGAGATTCTCCTCAGATAGCTGGGAACGATATTGCTGCGGCAGCTTCTCGAAGCCAAAGTACCCGGGCCCTACGATTGTCAACGGCCCTCTGGCGTTCTCAATATATTGTCGGACATGCAGTTGGTCTGATGCCTCTTCGGTCACCAAAACAGGCACCATCTGCTCGTTCACACGGCACGTTGTAATCACGACAGGGTGATCTTGCATGTTCTTACCGACGCCTGGGAGGTGGCTGACACAGGGGATGCCATATCTAGAAAGTTGTTCGCATTCACCAACACCAGAGACCATGAGCAGCTGCGGAGACTGTATGGGTCCCGCTGATACTATCACCTCTTCGCGAGCCCTGAGGTAAAAATCGAGGTTTGAGGTCCCAAACGTGCCGGCTGTTGAGACGAGGATCTCGGAAGCGGTCTTGTCTCCGCCGTTGAACAGTATCTTCTGGGCGAGCGTGTTCTTGTAGATTGTCAGCCCGTTCCCACTGTCGAGCGCCTCTTGCAGAAAGCTGGACTCGGATGAGGAACGATGGGCATTCTTCGGGTTGATAGTTCGGCTCATGAATCCAGAGCCTAGCAGGCCGCCACTGTTGAATTCAGTCTCTTTGAACCCAAGCCCAACGGTCAGAACTTTGCGTATAGTGTTAGCCAACGGGTCGATCCAATTTCCCGACGAGACTTCAAGAGGACCGCCGTTCTTAAAGGCGTCCTCATTATGCAGAATGTCATAATCACCCCAGATGGTCGGGTCCGGCGGAGTAAAACGCACAGACTTCTTGTACCACGGCAGCATGTTCTCGAAGGTGTAGCTCTCGTCACCCACTTCTTCTGCCCACTTTTGCATGCTGCCCTTGGTGGGGCGGTTATAGTTCATACTATTCTGAGCGGAACTGCCTCCTAGGAGCTTGCCGTGCGCACAGTGGAAGACACGGCCACCCAGGACTTGCTGTGGCTGCGTCTTGAAGCGCCAGTCGTTCAATGGATGATACGCCTCGGGGGCGTCCCCGCAAAAGAGCCCTCGGGCGTACGCAGGGACGACGGACCAGTTGCCATTATCGATCTCGGAGAATCCACCCGCTTCGACGACCGCTACGCTGAATCGTTCACTCTGGACAAGACGACTCGCGATAGTCAAGCCAGCAGTTCCGCCTCCAATAACGATATAGTCAAAGGTTGCGTTCACACCGGGTGTGCCGAAGGAAGTTCCTAGAAGAGGACCTCGTCTTCCATAGTGGAAAAGATTGAGGTCTTGTTCTTCCTGGGCGAAGACTGCAGCTGCGAGACCGAATAGAAGCCAGGAGGAGGTATGCATGGCGGACTTCTTCGGATCAAATGGTAGTTGTTCGGAGGACTAGTGATGGAGGATCTTAGTGATAACGATGCTTGGAGGACATTCGAGGAAATGGATGTCGGATAACGATGCGATCAGTGAATGATATGCAAGAGAAGAGGGTATGAAGAAGAAGAAGAAGAAGAAGAAGAAGAAGAAGAAGAAGAAGAAGAAGAAGAAGCACTGAGCCAGGAGAGGTGGAAGAGGATTTGTTGGCAAGAGGGGAGGGAGTTGCAGTAACACGACATGTTTACCCAAAAGGGAAAGAGGCAAGGTCTATATGCCTTGGCTAATGACACAAGTATGAATGATTACTAGACTATTAACATGTATGTACTAGACTGTACTGTACTGTACCTTCACAAACCACATCTCACTCCGTAATCTTTTCTAGTCCCAGTTGCACCCGACACTGATCCAGACTATCACTTTGCATCCGCGCATACAAGCTGAACTCATCTGTCGTTGGGACTCCCAGCATCCGGTGAAACCCATCCAGATCCGGCTCGGCCTCCATAATCAACCGTTTCGACTGGGTCGTGTTCCCCAGGTTGGAGTTGAAGATGCCCCCCGCAGAGAGCGGCAGGAAGTCCTCATACGTGATGGGCTCATACTTCAGTACTCCTTCTCGCAGAAGCTGGGATACGCTCGCGGTTCTCAGCCCGCTCAAGCCCTTACTCCCCTTCGGAGTGACATGATAGTAGAAAAACGCCAACTGCTGCGCCCACAATTCACCCAACTCGTCCGGAAACCCTTGAAAATGTCTTTCAAGAAGGCTTTCGTATTGCGCATCTCCGGTTCCGATTTCCATCTCTGCAACCTCAGTATTCACTGCCGCTAGAATCTCATCATACAGTTTTCTCCCCTTGCGCGTGAGCGCAAATCCCCGCTGCTCGACTTCCCCAAATCGCGCGGTATGCGAGCCCTTCACATAATCTCCATGTCCGGTCCGGAAGAAGACTGTCTCTTCGCGGGCCTTGAAGCTCGTCTGTCGTAGCAGGATTGGACATTTTCGTCTTGGGGGCCCCTCGATGCGCTCCTTGGCCGGCATACCCGCCTCCCACATTCTGGACTGCACGGCATCAATATTGAGCGTCCGCGGCGTTAGGTGGTTGATATGGCAACTGGGAAAGGAGACAATATCCGCAATGAGGGGATGTTCGGCTTTGAGGGTCTGGTACTCGTCCAGTGTGACGGTGGCGTGGGAGTGCCAACGGAAGGTTTTGAGGGCTTCGGCTATGAGCTCTTGACCGGCTTCAGGGGTGAATGGGGTTGGTTGTTGTCGGTCCTCGGCGATCTCAATGAGGGTCTGGAGTCGGTCTGTGAAGATGGAGCGTTGGGAGAGGGCGCGTTCGGCAAGGAGACGTGTGCGCGGGGTGAGGAGATCCATGCGGAGGACGGTGGTGAAGACGCGGAAAGGGTGTCTGGATAGGGCTTCTGAGCTGGTAGGTCGGAAGGCCGTGGCGTGCATGGGGAAGCCGGCGAGCGTGAGATCGTAGTAGCCGACTGGATGCATGCCCATGATGGCAAACAGGCGGCGGATGGTGGTGAGTTCTTGAGCAGTACCCAGTCGGATGGCGCCATGGCGTTCGACGCGGTGGCGTGCGGGGAGGATCTCGTCCACGTCGGTGAGATCATTACTTGAGCGCTTGGCCTGTGCGATGATGGTTTCTGTATCGGCTTGGTAGACGAGGTCGACTAGATCGCCGTAGAGAGGAACCTCAGTTTTGTACATCTCAGAGAGCGCGTGGCAGAAGCTGGCCCGGAGGGAATCCTGGCTCCATTTCTCAGTTGATGCTGCCATGGTTGAGGTGAGTCGGATCGCGCTGACTCTTAGAGAGGAAGCAAGTGTAAAGGAAGCTTGTAGATAATGGGGCAAAGGCTGAGTAAATAATCGTCGTCGGTACATGAATGATAAACACAGGCAAGCGCTGGTTGGTCGAGCTTCTATACTAGGTTAGATAAGATAAGAACTGATCAGTCAGGATGAGCAAGCTGCCAGGTGGACACGTCGACTTACCATGCAGCTCACATTTAATATACCCATGCCTCGTGGAACTTCAACATGACGTTCATACCAGACCGACCAAGTCCATCACCATCACGTACACTTCATCCGCATGACCATGCACTGTTGCAAGTCATCACCCCGATGCTCTCATACATTGCCGTGTATAGCCGTCTTGTGCCTGAAAAGCATGTCTCGGATACTTCATCCGTCGGAATCCGATTGCCAGCCCGGTCGAGTGACTGACAGACTGACCCATCGGATGGAGACTTCGGAGTCTTCTCCGGACTTAGCGGGGTGCCGTGGAGGGACTGTGGAGAGCTGTGGGACGAAGACAGAACCGGAAGAATGATATGTACTCAAGCCAATCGGAGTGCAGGAACTAGGCATCTTTCCGTCGGATTAATGAAGGGTGTTCAAAGGAGTATTGATTGCATTGTATCGAGTATAAGATGAAAGTGGCTGAGGCGACGAAGTCGGTACTTCGCAGCTGCGAGTGAGAAGGCGGAGAGACGCAACTACCTCAGTTGCATGATAGACAATCTCTGTGCTGTCAACATGTTATAGTCATGCGACCAAACAAGATCGGTCTGGCCCTTGCAGCATTTTTGTAAAAAGTACTATGACAAATGAGGATTGGAGGTGTATGTGATGACTCTGTTGGCAACGCATTGGACCAAAATTGTGAAAGCATCAAATCTCAGTAAATGGGGGCAGCCTTCGCGAGGAAATGGGCTGCATACACCGAGAAAGAACCAATTGGGTCACCTTATGACAACCACACCATCTACATTCTGCTGGAGACAGAACTACTCTGATGCTCGGTATTGGTATTTGTGTATGCTCATGGATGAGGAGTTACATTGAGTGGTCTTGTGTCATTGCGCTGCCACTGTTGTACCATATATACGTACGTTAACTTAGCGTGTTTTATACCTAGTGGCTCGTGGTTCAATCCTCCGTCTTGCGAGTCAGAGGCGGGCTCTTCTTGACCAAAATAAAGTCCTGTTCCAGAAGCCAGAACCCTGTTGACTCCGTGCCGTCAATTGTCTTGGTGATAGGTGTCACGTTGTGTTCCTGAGCCAAATCGAGGTCCTCACACCAGTTGTAGTCCACAATCAAACTTTTCTTCACCCCGAACACGGTGTCACTCTCCACAAAGTTGCTGTCTCGAGAGTACAAGGCAGTGATCAGCTTGGTGTACGCGGGGTGTTCGATCATAAAATGCTATTTTATGTTAGCATGCATCTATGCACAGACTCTGAGGTTGAATGGTCTAACCATGTGAGCGGGGCGGAACCAATGCCGCTTGAGCTTGCGCAAGAGCTCGCCAACGGGGCCGTCGTTGGAAATTGGATAGGCCACGGGCTTTACACAAACAAAAAGGAAGTGACCCTTTTCGTCAGAGAGGATTTTCCCCCGGCAGTTGGGATCGGCGTTTCCGTCATACTCCAAGTCGTACACTCCGTTGCCGTCCGTCTCCCAGACGTCAATTAATGCCTTCGGTACATTATTACCATCTGTATCTTTGATCCAACCACGTACAATCGTGGGCTCGCCGGGAGTACCCTCTGTAAAGATCGATTCTCCGTATTGGAATGAATGCGCTTCTTCGTCATGGAATGGACCCAGCACAGAAGACTCGGTAGCTCCGGGCACAGCAGGATAGGAGAGGGCGTCAACTAGCGCGGAGATCCCCAAGATATCGGAGAGAAGCACAAACTCGTGACGGACATCGGTCGAGATTTGTCCGACCTACAGAAGGCGCTGTTAGGCTATAATATGACTCGGCAGAGGACTGTCACCCACTTTGGTCAAAAACTGCCATGCTTTCTCCCATTCATCAAATTGCAGTCCAACGTCTCGTATGTAATCATGGGCCGCTCGAATCAACTTCAGAATGAGATATCGGAGTCGCGGATTGTCGCACATGGAATTGATCTTCATCACATTTTCCGTGATATTCTCTATTGTCAGGTCGAGCATTGGAGGTAGATTAGCCGCGATTTCCTCTGGCGTTGACGCGGCCGCCCATTTGGCCCGAGTTCGGTCGCTCAGTCCCTCGACCGGCGGAGCTCCGTTCAGATCTTGCTTAGACATTGTGAGACTCAGATGCGGTAGGTATAGAAACGATTGGGGATGGTTCTCGAACTGGACAGTCGCCGAGGCGTGGACGTCTTTCTCTTATACTTCGTCTGCCTCGCAACTCGCCTCGGCTAACAACATTTTGATCTCGAAAGGCTCAAAACACACAATCTCCCCGCATCAGACTAATGCGGGGCATAAACCACTTGAGACTTGGAACGTCACTCCAGGTGTTTGCGCCGGTAACTGTATCTTGGGTGTATGCCGCTCAACGAGATCCGTCGGGGCGGAAGGATAATGCGGAGGTGGTTCCGACGGAGGAAGCCGTGGCGGAGGAGCAAGACTTCCAGCAACCAATTTAGCATTGAGCGACCGGCATCGGTCTGCGCAGGGAGTTCAAAGCATGATCGACGATGCTGGAGCTTGGTGATGCAAAACACCTCGGCGTAGAGATCAGGGATTGCACGCGAGTTCCGTATGCCAGTATTCGTCAAGTTACTCCGTACTCTACATTCCTTTCCATTACCGAAGCTCAAGCAACTTAGCCCAGGTACTGCATCAACCGTCAATAGTTCTGGTTTTGTTGACGAGTCGTCATTCTGCAGCATAAATAGAAGCTCCCTTCCGCTGTCAATGTCGGGTGGCCAAGGCGGAGCATACCATGACGTATAGTACGAATGGCCAATTTGTCCAAACAATAGGCATCATGATTCTTCATTTTGAACTTCTTTCGACTGCATAATTGCGCATCACGATGCAGATCTGGAGCATGGAATCACATATCTGCAAATCCTCGCATATGTCATCATGCTCGTAAGAGTGACTTCTATCACCAACCAATTGTAACGGACGATTTGTCGATGGCAGCAAATTGGATAGATTTAGGAACAATGCGGAACCCATTTTTCGTAGCCTACCAGCATCGAGTACTCAATAACAATTTCCGAAGCCTCTGCGAGTTGTGAGAAGCACAAAAGGAGTCAACCCCAGACCCCGCGTAAACCCCGGATTCCCAATCTTTGACGGACGTGCTCGCCGTCAGTAAGCTTGGCCGGCATTATCGGGAAATTGGCAATCCGCGACCGGTGGATCCGAATGTCGAGAGCCAATCTTATCTAGCGCATCTCTAGTGTGGAGCACATGTCGTCGGAGTCAGCTGAAGAATCCAATAACTACGGAGTACCTTACCTAGGTAGCATCGTCAACAGGAACCCAAAGAGATCAACAACATTGACTGGAACTGCAGTTCAACTGGTCAGGGATGGAAGGCGGAGGGGAAACTGCCTCGCCGGTGACGGCCAAATTGCGCGCTTCTCGCCGACGCCCGCCGCGCGCTTCCCGTGCCTGCGAGACTTGTCGAGTCCGCAAAACCAAAGTAAGAAACTCCTGTTTGTTCGTCCGTTCGTCACATCTCCCACTGACTCTCAATAAACATAGTGTGATCAAGCTCAGCCTTGTTCGTATTGTGCCTGTATGAGACACTGCAGAACCAACCCCTCTGTATGTGAGCGACACGGTTAATCATTTGACTCTCAGATCATTCGCTCGACTGTTTGTATAGAGCTGCAGGTCCCAACGAGAACTCGTCTATAGTAAAACGCCAAGCGCAGATTCGCGAGGCTCAGAGGTACCTCTATGCTCCTTGTTCTTTCTTGCTATCTTCGGGTTCTGACCTTAGATCAAGACAGAAAACCAGACCATCACCATGGCCAGATGTCGATCAGAGTCGTTATGACAGCTTTCAGCACGTCAATTCCCCAGAACATTCCAGCAAAGGGATACCCCGCGTCCCTCAAAGTGATGGCAGTGCCAATGCTAGTTCGCCCGCCCATTTCACTCCCAAGCGCGATGATGACACTATGCCCGGTAAGTAGACTATGCTCTAGTCATTCATCTTCCTTGGATTGTATGCTCAAGAATGCTTTGCAGCCGCCACGCCTGAGCTAGTCTGCGACTCAGCCTCAAGAGATGGGTTGAGCGGTGTCAACATTCACACAAATGGCACAGAGTTCTATGGCAACTCCTCTAATTTGGCCTTCCTCGGCAACTTGTATGCACGAGCCCGTACCCAGGCAGGCATTAGAGGGTCGACCGTCCCTGATAATGAGCATACTCATGCTCTAATTGAGGGCCATACCGCGGCTTCCGACACAGTGCAAACCAGCAAAGATGGATTAAACCAGTTGACACCCAGCCCGACGGCAGACACGCAGTCGGAGGGTGCGCGTCCTACGACCAACACAACGCAGCTTTCTATCGTGAATTTGCTTTATAATCCAAAATACCCGAGTCAATCTCCTCTACATAGTGATGGGCAAAGTTCAATTGATAGCGGTGGAACCGCGAAGAATGTGGTGAGCTCCCAGAACACAGCTAAGGGATATACAGGTGAGCACAAACCAGCACTTAAGTCTTGAAGTCCCCAGTATCTAAAGTGGAGTTTCAGATACAAGCCACGAACATGATGTCATACCAATCATTGAGGGCCTACCAGAAGAGGCACAAATTGAAATTGAGAAAATGTTCATTGGAAGTTACTTTTGCAACAAGCATTATATACACCCTATGCTGTGCAAAGGCACATTCATGCAACGTTGCGAGAAAGAGGCCTTCGTGATAAGCAGGAGAACCAGCTTGTATCGGGAATCCTCGAAGTTCGCTGGGTTATACTTCGCTGTGGTCGCGTTGGGTGCGATTAACGCCAGTCCACATGAGACGGCCCTGCTAGACCATTATTGCAACTACAGCCCCATTCCAAGGAGAGCCAGAACCACAAGCAGACCATCTGTGTTAGACTTTGCTGATTTCTATTTTGGCCGTGCCAAACGGGCTCTGGGAGATCTATTCGAAAGCTGCAGCTTGGAGGGAGTGCAGGCGCTTCTACTCCTGGTAAGCTTTTCTCACTTTGATGGAAGAGAGACTCCATGCTGACCCATGTCTTCAGAGTGTGTTCTGTCAGAACGCTCTTCGACCGCATAGTTGTTTCATGTATAGTGGAATGGCGGTCCGAACCGCTGTAGCCATCGGACTGGCATCAGGGATGACGTCCTTGTCCCCAGGTATTCGCAAAGAAGGAATTCGGACTTGGTGGTAGGTAAGTCGTCGTCTTCTCATAGTACTTGACTGACAAGATTAGGTGTATTTATTCGCATGAGATGTAGGTCAGAATACCACACTCAAGATCTCAGGATTACTAAGAAAAGGCAGTGAGATGTGTTGCTCTTCTGGTCGCTTAGACAGCATGAAAGATCTGCAGTACTACCAAGTTCCCTTACCTATTTTGAAGGTGAAGTACTAGTGACAACCCATTGAAGAAATGTATTGACCGTGCTTACATAGGTAACCCCCGGCAACCTACTTGATGCCGATGCCGAAGACAATTATGTGGCAATGATTCCAGCAATGGCGGCGCTAGCACAAATCATGTCCGAGGCATCACGCCTCCTCTACCACTCTCCCAAGCGCTCAATGGGCGAGATGTCGCATATTGCCATAGATCTAGACAACAAACTGCTGGCATGGAAGTCTACTCTACCTGAATTCTTAGATATCGACGCCGCCTCGCTCAATGATACAGAGTGGGCCTTCAAACAGAAACTCGTGCTAAGACTAAGTACGCCAGACAATCCTAACCAGACTTCATCCTACCTTCTCAGAAGCTGATGTACCCAGGATATTACAATACCCGAATCCTGATCCACAAGCCTTTCCTCGCCGCATCAGCCTCCAACACCGAAGCGCCAAATATCCTCCAGCACCTGCATGCCTGTCTCGATGCCGCGAGAACCAGCATCAACATGCAGTACGAATCATTCATACACAGGATCTACATTCGTACCTGGTCAGTTCCCCTGGTGCCGTGCCATCATCCCACACCCTCTATCCACTGACCAACCCCTCCTGCAAAAAGGTGGTACAACACCTCCTACGCCCTCTACGGTGCCATGATTCTCCTCCACCTCATCCTCTCGGGATACCCCAGCATCCGCGACGAAGACCTCCTACTCGACGTAGAGAAGAGTCTCGACATCTTCGAATCGATGAACAACATCGTCGTCGCCCGTCGTTGCGCCGAGATGATCCGCGAGGTCCTCGAAGTCGCACGAGCCTGCGTAGCTCGACGTCGCACCCCCCACTACACCTTGTCCACTTCAACCGTGCCACCACCGCCGCCACTGCCAATAACCGGCCCAGCGAACCCGTCTGCTTCCTCACCTGCACCATTCGGCCTAGGCAACCCGCACACCCAGCAACAGCAAGCTGCCACAAACCCCACGACCAGCACAGCACCCGGCGTCGACAACGATTTCTTTTTTTCGCTGTTCAATCCCGACTCGCAGCCCAACGATGCCCGCGCCGAGATCCTGGCGAATCTGGTGGATCCCACCATCCTCGAGGACTTTGCGTTTGGGAACGGGGCCAGTGATTTTTCGTTCTTTCTTGGAACCTGAACCGGGACCGGAACCGGAACCTGGAGTTCTCATTAAGATGCTTTGGTGAGCAGCGGGAGGCGGGGATGCGTGTCTTGAGACCTTAAGACAATATCTACAATTACCCTGTATCTATTACTCGATTATAGACATCGCCGCAAGCTGCGCAGCTAGCACCACAGCCCCGAGCTCTAGATCTGAAGCCCGCATACCTAATCGAAGTGCCCAATCCCAGTAGCTTCGACGAGAAACCAGAATCCTACCCTCAGCAGACCTAATACAAACAAACCAAACCTCAATCCCTGACGGAACGTAGCCTAATGGCAAGCCCCAGCGCCTGCCTCAGGTATCCACGAGGCATCATCGAGCCCCAATCCGTCGGGGTTCGCCCCCACCCCCACCACCAATCCAGCTCGAATTTTCGGGCAAAAGAAATGTTCCAAATCAGGTACAGTGCAAACTACCTAGGACAGACACCGCTTTGGTCTTCCCTTCGGCAGCTGCAGTTCATTCATCTCAAACACGGTAGCTAGTAGTTCGACTGAGCCGTGACTATGGCATTTGAAACCGGCGGCATTTTGGACGCCGGCCCTGGTGTGCAAGAGGGGGAGGGGGCTGGGTGCAAAGGGAAATAGGGTAAATAGTACATTACAGATCAGACTTCATAACATAACATAATATGAATGGTACCATCACTGGTCGAGTTTCCTCCCTAGGGAACTGTATTTCGGTACACAAAGGCTAAATTGACCCCTAGCGTGGCTCTAAATCGCACAGACCACATCATCAGGGTATGCCTCAATGGCGAGCGGGTGCTATCAATCGGCTGGTGATCATAAGATGGGGAGAGAGGAATATATGCGGATGCTCTGCAGAGATGGGAAAGGAAGGGATTTCTCCAGGCCTAATCCACGGGTCACCAAAGGGGAAAGCACCAAGACGCCCGAGCCAGTCGGTGACCGGCGAGAGGATGAAGACTATGTTAGCCTCCCCATGATCTATTTCTAAAAAAAGCCTTCTGTACAATGTATCAGCTTTAAATCATGTGTTTGATCAATTCACACTTTCTATCTGATTGCCATCCAGTCTATGTCCATCCCATATCCTTCATGTAGGGGGGAAATAATGAAACCATATGTACAAATATAATGCGAGTGAGATGCTGGAAAGTCATCCACCCGTCCATCTAGGGAATTAGTTCGTAAACCAGCGGCATAGCCGTCATCAAGACACAAAGTGGAAAAAGCAAGAGGTATCATAGAAACAAGACCCCCCTCCTAGCAAGAAGACAAAACGCCAGAACCAAAAGAGACATGCAAATTCATCAGGGCATCACATAAGGGTTGGGGAAAGCAGACACAGAAAACACTGCTAGTAAAGCCCGGGGTATCGCGAATCTCCTTTTAGGGGGGGACATCAAAAAGAGAAAGGTGGGAGAAGAAGAAGGGGGATAGATAACTAGAGAGGTGGGATAGAAGAGTCTTGCAGGCTCTCATCACTGATAGAGGTTGCTGGAGATGCCAATCCCGAGATGACTGAGGAGGTGCCACCCAGACCACTGTCTGGAGCCTCCAGGATTGAGTCCTCCATGGCGCCCATGCGCGGGGGATTGATTGTCGTGGGTTTGGCAGCGCTGGTCATCAGTTCATCGATGCCAGGTTTTTCAGGAACGTAATGATCCAAATTGTTCGCGTTGTCCAGACTCTCCAAGGCAAACTCCAAAAACTCAGCATCCTTCTTGCTGACGCTCAGCGTCCAGCGGTATTCGCAGAGTCGCAGCCGATAGAATTCGGCTTCTTCCTTGGTTGGGGCGGAGATGCGAAGGAGGACCCCGAAGGAGCCGATCAGGGCAAAATTGGTCCGTGCCGTAGCCGGCCAGAAGGAGCGCAAGTGGGAAGGCCGGAGTCGGTTGACAAAGTCCATTGCGGAGATCAATCGCGTCTTGGCGGCGGAGCGACAGATGTGGGACAAGTAGGCGTCGGCGTTCTCCGGCGCCAGCGACCGCACAATGCAGCGGTGTAGGGTGATCTCCGTTGCGAAGTAGGCTAGGTGTAAGGCACCGTTGCGAGCGTTGTCCTCAGTGACGACCTCGAACAGATCGCCGCCCGAGTCCATCTTTAACTCCGACGGAAGGCGGCCAAACCATTCTTTTAACCGAATCTGGGCCGGCTTGGCACGTTCGAGAATCATCCGAGTCCGATGGTTTCCCGCCGCCTTGAATTCCTCAATCGCCTGTAAAGTATAGAAACGATCCAAGATGTCGGAGAGAATGGTGGTCAGAGCCACCATGTGACAGAAGGATAGCGGGCCGTGGCCGACGGGTGCATCGTCGTGTTGTGCTGAGGCAGCGAAAGCGTCGGTGAAATCCTGCTCCACCAGGTCCTGAACCATCCAATTGGAGGCGAAGATGTGAGACGGCCGTCCATGCACAAGCGCGGACCACTTATCCTGCATGTATAGGGCCCATGCCAAGCGTTTTCGGAGCCCTTTCTCCCATGTGTCCATCCGCCAATTAGAGCAGTCCTGGTGCAAGCCAAGCTCAAAGCCGGCTGTGACCAGCTGCGCAGTTAACGCGGCTGTGGCTAGGTTTGACCTCTGCATAAGAAGCAGTCCCGCCTGGATAGTAGAGATGGAGGCATAGGGAAGCGACTCAACCAAAAGCCGAAGGGCCGTGCTCTCCAAGCGGCCGGCATCGGGACGCCGGATGGTCTGAGACGCAGGGCCAACATCGACGAACTTCAAAGCGAGGACATAGACAGCAGAGAGAAGCAGTGGTGACAGGCCACTCCGGGCCCGATAGGACTGTCGGAAACTGTCTTCAAGGAGAACGGGGAAGGTGGGATGGACGTGTTCGAAAAACTTCTCCACTAATGTGGAGCCATAGGGAGCGACCAGGCCCTCGATGGCGTCCAAGGAAGCAGTGTGCGGTGAGTCCGCGGGCGATCGAGTGCTGACCACCCGCATGAAGGTGCCGTCGTCACTAAACTTCCGCACACGGGAGGCAGCCACAAACCCTTCTTGGTTCTGATCCAAGGGCAAGAAGTCCAGGAGGGCGGGCTCTAAGTCGGTGGTGAGGCCGATATGTTGGATGGAATGTTGCCAGAACGAGGAGGAGGAAGTGGGCAATTGATGATCAGGTTGGTGGTGAGGGAGGGTGTGATTCAAGGGTGGGCGGACAGAGTCGGATTTGGCCAGCACCGGGGGAAGGGTAGATAACCTGGCGGCGGGGATGTTGATTAGCTGAAAGTCCTACTATATCTCGAGTCCAAGTCCGAGATCGGCCGTGACCGGTGAAATCATACCTCTTAGGCGATCCCAGCTCCTCGGATTCGGTCTCGTCCAGTTTCCGCTTCTTCGCTTGCAAGTCGGCCGTGCCGGGGCGACTGGCCACCGCCAGTGTGAAGGTACAGTCCTGCCGGTGAAAGTCGCACGAATAACACTTGTTCACCATTTCGTTCATAGCACACCGGCTCTTTCTGCGCACGCATGCGTCACAACTCGACCCATCCCGACCTGGCGCGGTGACACGAGGGAGCGTTCCCACGGAAGATACAGGCGAGTGTGGCGTAGATAGAGAACCGGGCTGGGGGGCAGGTATTTGTTGGACTTGGGAGGACTGCGGGATCCGGGGACGAAGTAGTTGGTGGTCAGAGGAAGGGGATTGTTGGAAAGAAGCTGCTGAAGGGCCTGATGGGCCAGTCGTCGAGGACGACTGCAGGGTGATAACAGCAGCCATTCAGGAAGGCAGGAATGGGCAGGTCGAGCGCCAGGTAGGTGATAGGGCGATAGGCCAGCCCACGGAGATAGGTCCGGGGGAATACGGGGAGAGACAAGACAGGGGAGGAGTGGGAGGTGAGAGATAGGCGATAGATCGAGTGCCAATCTCACGAATGGTTGATCGCAATCGCAGATAGGCAGTAATAATGAGAATACAAATGATAATAATACTGCACGATAGCGACTCGGGGTCACGTAAATAGCACCGGGGCGACCCGGAACGTTCGCCGTCACAGGGCTCCGCAATCCCAGGGACGGAAGATCAATCTAGAGGGATGGCTGACTCGTAGTCAGGCCGGAGTAGTCCCTGTCTGATATCTGATCCCCTGTTAGGGAATTTATCTGGGGGGAATACTGCTGACGCCGTGGTGGTTGGTAGTGAGGATTCGCCTGGAGGGAATTGGTATTCCTTTCCTGCAGAGCGGCGGGCGATAGTTCAACGCACCGACCAATAGCTGCCGGGGCTTGACGGGGGGGCCAAGTACGAACCGCAGCGGAGAAGCTTATCAGGGAATTATCAGGGAAAATAACCGGACAACCAAGCAACGGATTGTAGGAGGGGGGCGACTGATGAAGCTAGCGGGGGGGGTCACAAGTAAAGTGTGGTAGAATAGAAAAGATAAAGAAGAAGAAGGAGGAGGAGGGTGAGTGGGTAAGAAAGTAAGAGAGAGGCTGAAGAAGAGCGTGGGAGGGAGAGGGAGAGACTGAGAGTGAGTTACAACAGGCAAGAGCAGCCAGCGGAACCGGAGCAACTCAATTGGGAAGGCTCGAGGGAGCGCCGGCGGGGAGGACAGGCAGAGGAACAACAACAGTAATAATCTTATTGAGACGATGGTGACGACAATAATAATGATGATGATGATGATGATAATCGAAATCGATAATCAATCATAGATAATCAGGGAGGATAGACTGAGCTGAGCTGAGAATAGATAGTAGGTAGGTAGTGTAGTCAATCACACTGTTCCTGTTTCGGATTCCCAGATACTTGGATAGTATAGTTATATAACTATAGCATCCACCAGGAATCCGGTTTCTTTCTTTTGCTCTTTTCTCCTGCAAAGCAGAAAACAGAGAAGAGAATCAATCACAGAAACGTCCCAAGGTGATGATGGGATTCTCTTGAATTTGCCGCCCTCCCCCCTCCCCCCTCCAGCCATGGGGAGTCATAATAATATACTGGCCATGACAGAATGACTCTGCGCAGCAAATCGTGGTAGTCATCAGGATCAATAAGAGAATCTCCGGATGAAGCGATCGATCAGCGAGGAGGGATCCGACTCTCTCCATCGAGAGCATTTCCCACACGTAACAGTAAGTTGTTCGCCGCCAGTTCCTGCGCCCTTCGACTGCTGGAAGCGATAAGCCGGGCGGGCGTGATTGGATCTGGTGGTCTGGGGGGGCAACCGAGGGGGACTTGGTATTACGTACTGGAATCCCTCTACCACCCCATGGAGGAAGTTGTGGTTGACCGTTTCATGGCTTGTGGCTAAAGGTTTAGATGTGATTCTTACTTGGTGTGATCAGAATAAATACGGTATCTACCAGGGCTGGGCAGTTGCTATGCCTTGTACTTATCTCCCAATTGATCAGATCTGCTTCCCTCCGACACTAAGCACTTAAGCACTTACGCACGAGAGCAACGCGCTGATGAAATGATGGGATTGGGACGGAGAATGAGCCGGGGAAAGAGGAGGGGGGATTGTGACTGGTGCGCCTGTCGGGAAACCTGCATTACTCAGCAGAGCCTCCAATCACATCATCCCGATAACGCTATCGAGACACCAATCAGACAGACTGTCGAGAACCCAAAGGGGGATAGCGGCAGACCGGCAACGGGGATCGGCCCTGCAGCGGCGGCTTTTCTTCCCCCACAGCCCTCCAGGCTTCGCCGGCCAGACGCCAAACCCGGCGACCAGACCAGTGACCAGTGATCACTGACCACTGACCAACAAATGCATGCGCTTGGAACTGCAATGACCAAAGGTACCTTAACTTAAAACTCCTACAGTAGGTAAGATGAAAAGTAATGATCTGGAATGCATCTCTCCAGTAGTTGATTGGTGGACGACCGCCTCCTTGGGCAGCTCTGCCGCCAGTCCTTAATAATGAAAATGCTGGCCGGAGGAGAGCTGCCCGAGAACTGTCCGGAGTAGTACAGTCACTCACACTCCCAGTATCTAACCTAGAATAGACCACTACCACCAACTCTAACGTTGTCCCCCGTAGCCAGTAGCCAATTCCCTTCCTACTTATACTTATACTTCCACTTATACTTTGACACACAGACTCCGTGGCTGAGGATGGATCTAATCTCTTTCCCCCAGCAGAGCAGGGGGCATCCCGCACGGTCGTTGTGTCTGATTGTGTCTGACCACCTTATCGCGTTGGTTTCTGTTGTTCTGGGGAACAGGAATAGTAATACGAAGTATGCGTATACTAACCTAGAACTTAGGGTCTAGTTCACTTCTTTAGTTCCCCCGGAGTTGCGACACATGCCCCGGTCCCAATTCTCATTACTTAATGACCAGGAGGATGACTCAATTTCTCGTCCGAGTTCATCGGGAGTTTGGAGTTTGGGGCTGGTTGCCCAAGTTTCAGCCAACTGCCTCGTCCCGATGCCTGGTTGGACTTGATAACCAAGTACCTACTAGGTAGTAACTAACTTATAGTACGCTGATTATCTCATGAGCTTGAACCGACTATATCACGCCTCTTATTGGCTTGGTGTGACCTCCGGCGATTTTATTGACTTTCCGAAAGATGCGATCGCCTTTGAGGAGATTTCCGTGGGCATACTCGAGTACATCAATCACATCTACCGTACACTATACGAGTCTCAACCGAGGAGTACTTAGTCTACAAACCCCATGACGACACCATCCCCCCTACCATAAACAAATCCCTCTACTATACCTACCCCCTCCCACTGCCCAACGCATCACCACCATAACAAGACACAAAAAACCAACAACACCAGAACTCCATGCTAGAATATCCCTTTCCCTCCCTCCCAACCTTCCCAAGCCCCAAAACCAAGGGGAAGCAGATCACCCAAAACCACACTTCACTCCGTGAAGTTCCGCAACTTGGTCAACTCATCCAACAGCTCCTGCAGATCCCCATCCGAGATCTTATGCTGCAGACTGGGGATGAGCGACTTCGCTTCCTCCGCATTATCGCAGCAGAGACTGCCTGTGCACCAGACAAAGCATTAGTACTTCTAGCTGCCCCATGCGCAAACTCCGTCCCCAGAAAAAAAGGAAGAAAGGGAAAACGAACCAAGCTGCGACCGCTCAAACATCTCCAACTCCGTATGCGAGTTCAGCAACCGCTCCACCGCCTTGATGTTCTCCTCGTCCTTGAACCGCGCAAACACCTCCAGGTAGTCGAGCGTCTTGGTCAGATTTCTTGTCACATCAGTTAGCCATGTTGCGGGTACGCGTAGTTCGGTTTTCCCTCCACTGCATTCATTCCCAAACTCGACACTTTCAAAACCCCCCAGTCGCAACTCTCGACCTCCTCGAAATAACCCCCATCCCCATCCCAACCAGCCAAGACAAGCCCCCCCCCCCGAGAAAGAAAAAAAGTGCAACTCACTCAGGCTCCTCATACTTCTTCCCCCCGCGCCGCTTATTCTCCAACACCTTGTTGATGACCAACCGCGCCTCGGACAACGACAGCGTATGGGTGTTCTGGTCCGCGCCCAGGCGCAGCGTCGACGCCGCCTCGAGTTCGCCCTGCGGGAGGGTGCGCTTGCGGTGCGTCGGGGCGGGGAGTTGGAAGCTCATTTTTTTTTGGTTGGGCTTGTGCTTTTGCTTTTGCTTTTGCCGGTGGTCTTGGGTCGTTCGTTCGTAGCTGCAATATTCGTGACTTGTGATTAACGCGCGCGCCGATGGAGTTGGTGGTTTGTGATGTAGTGGATTCGGTGAGGTGAGGTGAGGTACGCTTGATTATGGCCGGGCCGGGGATGTTGGGGCTGAGGTAGGTCGGCGCCGAGTTTGTTTTTCGGACGGACAAAGGTTGAGGTGAGGTGAGGGCGGTAAGTTAGCTTGCTGTGGGCGGAGAGGGCGGGGGAGGCGGTGAGGCGTGGTTTTTTGGTTATCATCATTATCAGTATTAATCACTAGGAGATAACAAGAACACAGTGACGTTACTGGGTATACTATACTGTGTCTTGTGCTAGGATTGTTTGTGCACATTGTTTACAAGGCTAACTCTTTCATGATCTGGGCATGAAGTAAAGGAGCAAGGTGTAGGGTATCATTTTAACATTGTTCTGGTGTTTTCAGGAACTTCTTTTTACACTCTCGAATCGAAATAAACGCCCTTTATACATGTAGGCTATGCGATATACCACGAGTATCATGTGTTTCAACTGTTCAGACAGTCCGCCGGACCCATTCTCCATTGCGACAGGTTATACCTTCTTGAAGGCCACCTCCTCCGGCAGGCGGAAACTGGCACAGAACATCTGCTTGTTGGGACTCACCAACCGCACGTTGTGGATGGCCAGCTCCAGCTCCTGCCGGCCACTGCCCCCGACACGGTCCTCCGTCGTGATCTCAAACCCAATGCGCTCCGAGATGCGCTGGCAGATATCCACATGGTCGTCGTGCTCGTCCTCGGAATGGCCCGAGAAGCAATACACGTGCACCGTCGGCAGCTTCTGCTCCGTGTGCGGCGCGAACCGCGCCTCCTCGCCCGCGTACACCCCGACGAAGGCGTCCAAAAACTCGATCGCGTTGCCGGGCAGGTTCATCACGTAGTGCTGGAAGACGGTGGGGCGGTGGAACACCTCCGGCGGCGGCGCGGTGTCCTTCTGGCTGCGGCGGACCTTGGGTTCGATGGTCACGGTGAGCGGGGATTCGAGGAGCCGGCGGGCCGACGACCGGATGAAGTCGCGCCCGTCCTGGTTGTGCGGCGTCACGAACTTGTCGACCTTGTTGCGCTTGATCGCGTCCTGCATGACCTCGTACCCGTGCGGGTTGAGGTCGTTGGCCCAGACGAAGATCTTCTTCTTGCCCGCCGGCACGGCGAAGGGGCCCACGCCCGCCATCACGTCGCAGACCATCTCCCCGGGCCGGAACTTGTCCACCAGCCGCCGGTGCTCCGTCTCCAGCCGGCTGTTCCAGTACACCCGCGAGTAGTCGAACCGGAATTCGCAGTTCTGTTCGTGTTGGATGACGTTCAGGTCATTCACGCCCCCGAGCAGCTCGAAGGGGAAGGTGCGGAATTGGCTGTGGGAGCCCACGTCGTCGGTCTTGCGGATCACCGTCTTCACGGTGGGGTTCTTGTCCAAGAGGATCTCGGCAATGATCTGTTTGTAGGGAAGGTATTGTTCGCGGAGGTTGAGGTGGGCTTGTTTGGGTGGAATGGTTAGTTAAGGGCACGAACGGCTTGGCTGGCGGTGGGAGGCAGTACGTACAGACGTGTCCGACTTGGGTGAAGCCCTGGGGGATTTCATCGCACAGCTCTTCGGGGAGAATGGATGCCATGATGTCGGCTGGGAGGAGATTAGTCCACAGAAATTGCGCATCGGGGTAGAATCGTGAGTACCATAGGACCAGTAATCATAGTCAATCGTCAAATCGTAAGGGCCAACGCTCACCATGCCCTTCTCAACCAATTCGGAGACGGTAGGAGACCAGGTCGCCGTATCTAAGCCTTCTATCAGTTCGTTGCTCTACATCAAAGAGAAGATGGACTGACCGTCATGCTTGATCTCCTCCCGCAGCAACAAGCATTTGCGCACGACTTCTTCCTGCTTGATATCCCGAAGCGTGGCCATTCTGGGCAGCGCCAACAAGTCGCGCTTCTTGTGCAGTGCTTGTCGCACCGTCGCAATATCCGAGGTCTTAAAGATCGTGGCAGCAGAGACCGGCACCGTTCGCTTGAAGAACGACCGGTCCAGCACGCGCATGGCGCGATTCACGGGGGGCCGAAACATGGCGGGGATGTCGCTGCGAACCGGCTTCGTCTCGGAGTCAGTTTCCTTGGACATCGGAGTCGAGGTGGATTGATGCTGCGATTTGATGCGCTTCGAAGGTCTGCTGGACATTGATCATGAAAGATAAGCCGATCGTAGGGTAGTCACGTAGCCGGAAGCTTAGATGTAACTTTTTTTTGATTCAAATCATGGAGTCGAGACTGTGGAGGCCCGCTTATCAGCACGTGATGGGGATAAGATCTGTATGGCCTCACAATCACATGATGCCACCATGAATCGATCGTAGTGAGCTCAATAGAATACAGTTAGGAACATTCGCTTGTCAGGCCATTCATAAATACAGTAGTCAAGTCAACGTCCGCACAGCAGACTAGGAAACATTATGGTCCGCGCAGAGCTATAGCGTAGCACCGAGCAAGAACGAGCACGGACGAATAGGTAAAAAAAAGTCAAAGAAAATACATCGAAACATGGTATCATATATCCCTGCAAAGGCAAAGCATTGCCCTAACTCCGTCCCTCCAGCTTCGCAAGTCGCGCGTTCAACTGCTCAATCTGCTCATCTTTCTTCTTCAACGCCACGCGCGAGATGTCTCGTCCCCGGATAATCCCCATCATCTTCAGATCATATTTATCAAGCAGGGACATAAGCTCATCTTGTGCCTGCTTGGGAAGTGCTACTCCATGACTCTCCAAGATCCGGACGGCCTGCGAAGCCAGCTGCGATGCATCCAGCGGCGTCTCATCTCCCCCAGCCATAGCATCCCGAAACCGAGTCGGGGTCGGCGACATTGAAATCTCCATAGACGAGGGCGGCGCCGCGGTCGCCGACGAGAAGGATGGGACGCGATCGGTATACGAGCGGGGTGTGACTTGCGCGAATGAGGCGGTCGAGGTATGACGGCCGAGTTTGGACTCGTGATCATCTTCCGTGTCCGACCACTTTCTCTTCATCGGGGATGTCAAGGACGGCGGCGGCTGGTGCGCGCGAGGAGCTGGACCTTGGTGGGCCTTGGGAGGTCCGAAGTTGGGCTGGCGGATTGGCTTCGCGTCCAACAGTTTGCCTACTTCGGCCCCGACGTCGTCGTCCCACTCGAATTCATCGATGTCTTCTGACATCATGCGCGCCTTAGCGCTTCTAGGGAACATGTGGCTGAGCTGCTGCTGCTGCTGTTGCTTCTGCTGCCCGCCGCCCGTTGCGGGGCTGTGGCGATGGAAGCGCGGCTCTGTCTGTGGGGTGAGGAGACCGTTGAATACTCGAGGTCTCTTGGTCGGAGTCTGGGTCGTTGCAGGATCTGATTCCGATCGAGAATTGGAGAGGACGGTGGCTTTCTCGCGCAGCTCGGCGTCGCTGGCCCAGAGGAAGAAGTCGCATTTCTTGTTTTCGCATGTGTAAACTGCGGAGAGGCAGAAGAGAAGGAGGGGCAGCACCCGCGATTAGTCGCTCAGTCGCTCAGTCAATCGCAACACCGGAGAGGGGTATAGCATACAATATCGACCATGGTTTGTTCCGTGATTCTTACATTGGAACTTGTTTGCAGGCTTTCGATCAGGACAATTGCAGTGCCACATCCCCTCCACAAAAAGCCCTTTGAGGCGAATAGCCTTGCGCGGCGACGGGGAAATCATGGCTAGGATGTCGACAAGAAGTGTATGAGGTGTATTGGGCCAGGTGTTAGATGAGATGCAGACATCTAAGTACGCAAGAGAGGATGATAACTTCAATGTATGGATGTATAACTAGTAACATCAGTTAGTGGCCCCTGTCAAAGATTGTCGCCATGGAAACTGAAGTCTCGGAAACTGATTCACCACGGATTGTTTCACTGATTCACTGATCCGCCGGCCCGCTTCCCACTTTATTCCAACCGCCCTCGGAGTCTGAATCCAGTGCTTTTCGAAGTAAAATTCTTCATATAATTATGGATCTATACTAAGATTACTATGGCTATGTGAAAACACAGTATCAAGCTAGTCTTGACCCATGTAAGAACTTCCCTGCTTACTCCACCCGATATATAACCCATGCCCGAATGCCAACAACCAGAACTATATAAACGCTGTGTATGGGTGATCTAGAGACTCTAGGGTATCTTAACAATGCACGTGCATCTAATCCGCAAGCACCTGTCGCAACATAACACCAAACGACTCGGATAGTTTGAGTATCTCCTGGATCTCCGGCTTGACGGGCTCTCCCGCCGTACGCCGGAGCTGATCCTGCTTCTTGACCCGACGTCTCCGCTCAGCCGTGATGGGATCGAGATCATCTTCGTCATCCAACTCATCGGACGCGTCAGACTCTTCGTCTGAAATGGCAAGGTCCTCAAGATCGGCCTAAAAGAACCATTGGTTAGCAAATGCACTGCTCGCCTCCTCAACTGACGCAGGGGTCCTCATACCTCATCCAAACCGAAGTCACTGCTCCTGAAGGTCGTGCTACCAGGGATGATTTCATTGCCAGTTCCCTCAGCTGCCATCTTCTGTCTGGTCTTGTTGAGGTGCCACCGTTTCCGATCGGCATGCCATTTGATAAGAGCGTTAATCTCATCCAATGCCTTGTCTTTGTCGATCTGGCCCACATCCCTTGCTCCTGTGAGTAGGGCATTCATGTCTAGCTTGCCACCACGTGGTCCTTTGCGCAGGAATTCAAGAATGTCTTCAATCCATGCCATGAGGGATCCAAACAGACCGTTGTCATGTAAGTGCACCTCATGCACAAACTTGTAGAAGCTGCTTTGGTGGCGCTCACAAAGATCAATGAAGGCTTGAACAGTCTGGTTGGGGTCGGCAGACACATCCTGTCGATGACACTTTTCGATCACGGCGATGGCGTCATCCGCAAAGCGTGCAAAGTCCGTGATACTGTTGTAGACATTGGCCGACTTGTAGACCCTCACGAGCGGCTCGTAGAAAATTGTGAAGAGGTCGCGGAAGAGCTGCAGAGTAACCGGCTCCTCCACGATGCTGAGCATCATAGTCTTGTCCCGCTGGCGGGTGTAGAGTTTGAGCAGCTGCTTCAGATTGGCAAACCAATGAGCGCCTTCTCGCATTTCCGCGTCAACACTCTCGACAGCCTGATTCCAGGCAACGTAGGCATTGAACACTTTACCAAACTGTTCTGGGGTCAACTCAGGAGAGATAAGCTCCGTCTTGAGAATCGCCACAATGATGTCAACATCCTCTGCGGTGGCTTCGGCGCGAATCTCATTCTTCAAGTCTTCGTCGGCGTCGGTGAAAGCCTTCAACTTTTGGCAAAGGACAGGATCTTCAACCGTCGCGGCCAGCGCATCGATTGACTTCTGGAAAGCTCTGATCCCGTCGTTCAAAGTCATAGAAAATATGCGTTGGAGTAAGGACCGGGAGCCAAAAGGTTGAGCCAGAAAGAGGTCCAGTACTCCTGACATCACAGCTGCCGGGTTGGCAATGCGAATGACATTTTTCAGAAGACTGTAAGGGACAAGAGAGTGGATCCTCTTGGCTTGCGCGAACAGTTCAGGAGAATTGTCCTCGGCCAGGAAAAGATGATAGAGCGTAGCGGCAACTTCAATGCGTAGCCATTCGGCGAATTTCTGGTATTGTGGGCTCAAATCCTCCACTGTCGGCTTCTCCTTAATTTCAGCGAAAAGTTTCGTCAATCCATCTAGAACTGGATCAGTATAGTAGCACTTGAGCAGGATACAAACCCAACTTACTACTCTCGACGATATCCCGGCGGAAATTCTCCATGTACGCGTCCAACTCAGCCGCTCGCGCTCTCGCGATTTCATAAAACCGCTTCTGCTCCTCAATCCGCACAGCATCTACCTCTTTGCGCTTCTGCATATCCATTTTCTCCTCTTCATTCAGAGTAATCGGGTTGGCAGTCAAGAAGTCCTCGAGAGCTTTGGTGTCCGCCACCCGCTTGTTCTGTAGCAGAGTACGGAGAAACGCTCGAAGGGAGACTCGCTGTTCCTCTCTGTAGAGCACCGTTTCCCGGGGCGCGTCTCCTGAGGCCCTAGGCGACCGGAGCGACCGCATGGAAGACCGTGACAGTGAACGAGTATGGTGGTTGCCGGGCGCTAGGTTGCGAGATGAGTAGCCGTCGTCTACTGCGCTCGTGTCTTGAGTGGAAACAGAAGAAATTGATGAGGCTTCGTCGTCTGCAGAGCCAAATATGCTGGATGTCAATGAAGACTTGTTCTTGCGTGGCAGCGGAGGCAGTGGCTTCCCGGGAAACTCAGTGCGCAGCCGTTTGTGCAGCCTAGAGAAATCGCCGTATCGACGAGCCACGAAGGTATCTTGCTTCCCATCTCGGCGCACCCGAATAATGAATTCCTAATCAGAGCTGTGTTAGTGATGTTCTTCAATTGCTCGAAGATTTCTCTGAACATACTGCATGTTGATGATATCGCACAGTCCGTCTGACCGATGTAACCCGGACCGCAGCCACATTGATGTCCCATCCGTGAATTGAGTTTCCTTCAGGCATGTTGACCAACAAACCCTTTTCGTTGGCCCCGCGATCCACGACTTCCATCTCCGAAAACTGAATGCGTTCTTCATAGCCCGATGCAGTAGGGATTCCAGAAACCATCATTAGCTCGACCAGCTTTTCGCATTTGCGCGCTAGCTTTCTGCGCTTCGTCTCTTCCAGGCGATCCTCCGATGAAGACACATGTTTCTTTGCGAATGACTCGAGAAACTACAACCTTGCGATTAGCGCTTCGTATGATAGGATCGGGGCTCAATGGTGAGGAATATACGCACCACTTGAAGCTTATCTTGCCAGAATTCCTTCTCGCGAGCCTTATCCAGGAATGGGAAGTTGCGCACATGGTGCACGAAGATATATCGGAGGATGGGGAGTTCAGAATCGACTGGAGCGACTTCACCGAATTCCGACTTGAAGGGGGCGCCGAAGCGTTGCAGGGCTGTAGGGGAGTTCAACTCGGCGATTTCGCCCTGGACTTGTCGGGCGATGAGTTCGCGCTTGAGATCTGCGACCGTCAGCAATCGTGTCCGCAGGGCGCTGCGACAGGTACTAACAATGTTCTTGCTTCCCGGTCAAGATCTGGCTTGTGGAGGTATTAGTGGTCGTGGTGGAGGGCGAGTCGGTCGCGAGGCCGACCGACTGGGTTCCGTTAGGAAGAAGAGGGGCGGAGGAGTTCGTTGCGGCCATCGTGAGCGACAGTCCGGATTAATTCCTGTCACCAGGAAACGATAATGGGCCGACTTTGTATCTCGAAAGACCAGGGTCACAATTATATGTAAGAATAGCTTCGAAAATTTCTAGAAGGTTGGAAAAAACAGAGGAAAGCGTCTGCCTAATCGCCAAGGTTCCGTGGGGTGTGTGACGTCTGCTGAGGGCGGGCGCTGAGGCGGTGCGAGAGCGGAAAAGGAGCTTTCTATTGAACTTGGTCAAGCTGTGCAAAGGGAGAATGGAAAGGATGTCTAGAATTCAGAAGATAGTGAGGGAGAGAAAGGGAGAGGTGGAGGAATAGGAATGGAAAAGAGGGAGAGGGAGAGGGAGAAAGAGAAAGGATGATGGATGAGGAGATCAAGTGGTAAGACCAAGTGAGAGAGGGTGACGAGCGACGGGAGAGGGGAAATCGGGCGGAGGAGAAAATAAAGACCGCGGGATCAGCAATTCAACAGCAATTGGCTTGACTGCATCAATGGTTGACGCGTGTCCCAGCTGTAAGTCTCTTAAGACTTCAGGCTCAGCCCTGTAGCCCCGCCATTCCACCCACTGTGGGTTTTAGCATGAGACTATGAGATCATCTCGGTCTTTCTACTCCGTACACTTCCAACCAAGATTGTCAACCAAACAAAACAATGCACTTGTTCCTCTCTCACAACATGTCTTGAACTTTTATTATGTATTGTCCAGTACCACCCCAGACATGATGATCCTTGGAACGGCCGCAGTAAGCAAACAGCCACCCACGCCTCAAGGCCTATATTTAGAATTCTAGTTCTAGTTTTGATATTATCTTTGGATTCGTCCCGCCAGTGTGTTGCTCACCTGCTAGCTTTGGCAGGAAGAATTTGAAATACAACAAGATCCACGGGCTTTGGATCGAGATTGAACTACCCCTCCGTGATCACGATTTTTACATCTCTCCGCGCTCCACTGCTAGAAGCAGAAGTAGATCTGGCTGTAATTTGGCTTTGTATACATCATCCTACCCATAAAAGATACAGACACTCGAAGGAACATTGCTTAAGGTGCAGACTGCCTCTATATTACAACCCTGTAAAAGGCACTATCTGGATGTGGCTGCTTATGAATTTCAGAGTTGTAAAAATGGTGGCCAGGGAGGGTAAATTGGAAATGGATATCGCAGCATCAGCTACATCTCCTTGGGCCACCTAGTGTCCGATTATCCTATACAGACGACATAGGAAAGGTTTATACACAGATCCATGGATACTAGGCTTTCTTTTGCTCAGTAATAATGCTACTGTTACTGCGTAAGTGCAACTGTTGCAACGCAGGGCGCGATCCCCTACCCGCAGATGCTTCTACACGGAAAACACTTCCGGTATGACAATAGTATAGAGTCAGTATAGAGTCAAGTTCACCTCACAATCAACTCACTTCAGGGGGAACGCTGTGTAGTTCTCTTTCTCTTGCCCCCGTCGAATTTTCTTCTCTCCTACCACTCCCTTGAGTCTCTCTAAACCTCACCAAAACCTCACTCCAACCTCCAAAAAACCTCAAGAATCGAGCAGATCTTCATACCAAAGATCACCGAGTTGAGCGCAACCAGAAAACCACTAGAACCACGAGTTGAGCGCAACCAAAAAACCACTTAAACCGAGTTGAGCGCAACCAAAACACCACTAAAACCACTGAGTCGAGCGAATCTTCAAGCTCCTCCAAATTATCAAGCTCCTCCAAAACATCAAGCTCCTCAAAAGCATAAAGCTCCTCAAGCAAAAACATCAAGCTCCTCAAGCAAAAAATCCAAGCTCTTCACTCCATGCTCCTCACTCCTCTCACGCCCCTCAACCCTCTCTCCAAAAACCTACAAGATGAATCGCAAGGCTCTCAAAGCTTTGATCTCCAAGCTGCAATCCCGCAGCGTGGCCTTCCTCGCCTCAGCGATGGAACCGCATCACCCACAAGCCGAAACGGCCTCTCCTCTTCCATCTTTCTCCGAAAAGAACCACGACGAAACAGCCGCCCAGGCAAGCTCCGCCTGGACCTGCGCAGCCAGCCCAAAAGAGCTGTACTGCCAGCCGAACTACGCAAAACTCATCCTGGATGCATTCTGCAGCGGCCAGCCCGTGTCCTGCATGTGCCTGCAGATCAAGAGCGACCGGCTGCGCAACCATCTGCGGGGGCCGTACCCCGCCAGCGAAGGGACACAGTTCCGGGCCGACGACATCGAATACGTCATCCACCTGCTCGAGGGCATGAGCCGGTGCGAGACCTGTCTCCGCGAGCTGCCGAGCATGGCGCAGCTGCATGAGCTCAGCAGCGAGACGATTGAGCGATACCGCCTGTTCTACCAGTCCCGGCATCGGACGTTCTTCAGTGGGGGATGTGATACGCACTTGAATAAAGATCTTTCGATCGACATGTACTGCTCGTTCGCCGTGGAGCAGATGGAGCGGATGGCGGCGAGTATTGGACGAATTGTTGAGGCGTTGAGTGCGGAGCCGCGGTTTGATCAGGATGCGTGGTATGTTGTGTTGAATCAGGCAGAGCGGCTGATGACGGCGGCCACTACGTTGCAGGGTCGGGTGGGGCAGGCTGCTCGAGTCTGAAGATGAAGGGACTTTTTTGGGGGAGGTGAAACGTCACGATGGCGATGATCGGAGGAGGGAAATGTCATGTCGATGTTGACAGAACAGTTGCGACTGGAATGGGAATGATCTTGACGAATAAACGACCTTGTGAAAATATCCTTGCGACATACGACAGGGGAATCACAAACAAAAGGCAAACCCCATTATGGAGAGGCGATTCAAAAGAGCATCACCTAGATGAGACACTTGAAAGTATTGACGATGATGTTGGGAAAACGATGTCTGAATGACAATCATGTGTAGCGCACTTGTGTACAGCATCGTTGCAGCAGCGGTCTGCGGAACAAGAGACTAGTTAGACAACGCAACAAAGACTCCATTGAAACCAAAACTATCTGAGCATATTCTAATACAAGTAGACCCCATTCCATCAGATAATCCATGGCCGTAGACAAACAAGAAACGCCGGCCAGCCGGAATCCACCATTCGATTCATACAACGTGCAGTCATGCAAACGGTATATTGAATATCACCCTTGGACTGCAGCCATCGTAGGTTGTGATACCGTTGCGGGACCGTGAAGCCTACTCCGTAGGTGTATTTATTCAAGCTCGGAAGGGGAAAGCGCTGCGGACCGAAGCGGAGGAGCTGGGGGAGGCAGCGGGGATTTCAGGGGAGCCGGGAAAGGGAGCAAGAGGAGTGCCAGTAGCCTGAGGGCCGGCGCTAGAAGGCTGAGCAGAGCTGCCACCGCTGGCGGACTCAGTCGAGTTCTGAGCTGACTTGGAGGTGTCAACAAGGGGCTCGACAACCCCGCCGCTGGAAGGCTGCACAGAAATACCGGTGGGCTTGGGAAGGCTGCTGCTGCTGATGGGCTGGGTGGCATTGGTAGAAGCGGATCCACCGGTGGGCACGGCCTCGGGCTCCTTGTCGTCACGCTTAGAGATACCCAGGTCGGACAGGATACCGGTGACTGCAGTGGGGATCGGGAGGCCGGAGGGCAGGATGCCGGAGGGAATCAGCGAGTCCAAGTCCTGGCGCTTCTTCAGAGGCAAGTTCGAAGGAAGAGTGATACCCAGGTCAGACAAGATGTCGGTCACTCCAGATGGGATCGCAAGGCCCGATGGGAGGATGCTAGACAGGTCCTGACGCTTCTTGATGGGCAAGTCCGAGGGTAGAGTGATTCCGAGGTTGGACAAGATATCGTTCACCCCGCTAGGGATGGGAAGACTAGAGGGGAGGGTGCCAGAAGGAAGAAGGGACTCGAGTTCCTGACGCTTCTTGAGAGGAATATCGGAAGGGAGGGTAATACCCAGGTCGGACAGGATACCGGACACTGCGGATGGGATCGGAACCCCGGAGGGGAAAATCTGCGACAGGTCCTGGCGCTTCTTGAGAGGAATATCCGAAGGAAGGGTGATGCCCAGCTGGGACAGAATCTCCGTCAAACCAGAGGGAAGAGGAATGCTCGAGGGGAGAAGGTCGGTCAAGTCCTGGCGCTTCTCGACGGGCGAGCCCGAGGGAACAGTGAGTGTAGGCAGCTCGGATCCTGGACCCTGTGAAGGGATTGGAAGCCCCGAGGGAATAAGCCCAGATGGCACAAGCCCAGTTGGAATAGGAGGAAGGTTGGAGAGATCCTGTCTCTTCTTATCGACGTTCGCGGGCAAGGCCAGGGCGTAGCCCACAAGGCACAGAGGAGCGACGTTCTGAAGCTTCATGCTGAAAGATTGCTGGTTAAAGCGAAGAAGTAAAGTAGAAGCGAAAGTGATGGGCAATGGAAGAAGCGAATGAGTACCGGATTCGATTGAGAGAGCACTGGAGCCTGATAGCAAAAGACATATCCGGGGGGGGATTTCAAGGATCCTTTATAGATCTTGGTGGAACATCATGCTGTGCTGAAAGTGAAGGATCAACAAACAAGTATTCCCCAACTGGAATCTACGGTCCAGGTCTACAGCCGGCAATTGGCAGCGATGGCTTCTTCATGCACATGCCGATATCGTTCTGATTGTATCAAGGGAAGTCTGAGCGGATGGGTCTCGCCCCGCAGCTGAACAATGACTTCGAAATGCCGAGGCCGCAAGTCGTGACAGTCTGCCAGAGACCCTGATGGCAAGACGGATCTCACTATTTCGAAACAGTGGTGAGTCCTGGATTCCTTTCGGTGGTTCGAAGCTAGAATGACGTGACGGGTCGCAAGGCCCAAAAACGAGGTTTTGTTCTAAGCACGCAAGGGCTCAAGTAGGGCACGCCCATCGCAGACGTTATCGCACTGCTGGCCAATGAAGAACAAGTCGGGTTGGCGACAGAACCTGTGGGTGCTCAGGGCCTTCGGTCAGAGGCGTAGAGACTTACAGGAACTTGGGGATTTTCTCGGCCTGGATGGGTCAACCCCAAACTCTCTCCATTCAGCCCTTGGATTAAGGTGAGCTGCGATGGTTGTCGGTGGAGCTCCGAATCGGAGATAGATAGCCGCCGACCAATCAATTGCAGAGCTCGCAGCATCCTCTTGATCGCTGCTTCAGTCGTCCATGGATCTTTTGCCTTGCACCGGAGAATGCAGCGCCTTGCACGACGCGTCCTCCTCCTTTCCAATGGTGCCACCTAGGTCATCGCCTCATTTGCATCTTGAGTTTGGGCTGCACAAAAGGATGAGGTAGGGAAGTCCAGAAAATGTCATCAGTGTCGGTGAGGGGGTCTTGAGTTTCAGAGCTTCATGTTTCACGACACTGTCATAGACTCTTAAATTGACAAGGGTTCTGGCGAAGTATCACGGACCGTTGCATGTCATCCACCGTGGCGTTTCAGGCGAACAAAGTCGATGGGTCAGTGGTGGGTAGAACTATAGGTAGTGGATAAAGTCACTTCAGGCCCGACAAGATCGATCGAACGGGTCCGATTTTAGCACCTAGGGCAGAGCCATGGGAATTCCAGGAACGACGATCTTGAGTTCTTGTTCCAGTGGGTTTGTGAGAGATTGAGTGGTCAAGACTCAAAAAAGAGACAAGCGCAGTGGATTTCGACCCGGAGCGGAAGCAGAGCGGAAGAACAGCGGAGTTGGTGGAGGTGGAGGTGGAGGTGGAGGTGGAAATCAGAGCCGATGGTTGCCTGGACCTTGAGGCAGTCATTTTCCTCACCCTCAGCCTTTTGCTGTCCCTCCGCATCTCTACTTACTCCACCCTCTCAAGGTGGCAATCATCCTTCCTTGATACGACTCTTGTGGAGTTTTCCTCTAATGCCAGTGATTGTGGAATTATCCTCCACAACCCGCAAATCTCCCTGTTGGTATCTACCTCCTACCCCTAGCTAAAGCCAGTGGGACTCGGCCATGAACTGCATGGGCCAGAAGCAGATCGTGTTCAATATACATCATACAGTATCAGTCTCCTGGAGCTTCCCTCATCAAGGTTATCTGTGGCCGACTAAGGAAATCTTCTAGATGAAACAGGGAATCTTTTAGGTTTCGCTAGTGGTCTGCAAAGATTAGGTTTACAACGGGCCCAACCTACACCGTTCGACTGTGACCAAGTAATTGGAGAAAATACAGCATTTCCTGCCTATTCCACCGAAGAACAAGCATGTCATCTGTCAACAAGCTTCCTGGCCAAGCGTCATGATCTAGCTTTTCTTGGGCCTGTCTACCCTGTCTCCATGGACGGTCGGCAATGCAGCGAGTCCAATTTTGAGCGTTGGTGGAGAGCGTCGAGTCTTAAACTTTCGATGAGTTTCGCGTCGTTACAGGAAGCGATCGGCCTCCGCCTGACGGCTGGAACACGCCTCAACGACTGGTTCAAGGATTATCACTACACAATGGGTCGAACCTCACTGTATTCGACACTCGTTAGAATATCCCGTTTCGATTCGTGAACGAGATCCATTGCAGCCGTGATATGGCGCCATAGTCTTGCCAAACAGCTCCAGGCAGTTCCAGCAGAGTGTGCTGACCCTGCGCGAGATACAGACATTAAACCATACCTTCGGCTAAAAGCACATGCATCTGACCATCTCATGTCCATGCATGAGGCGATTGCCTTGAGGATGATGTGTTCGTCAAAACTACCTGGAATGGCAATTCCCTCAATGATCAGTCTGCAAGGGCTGTGTGATGAGGGGCGATGCAGGTCTACTTGCTCTTCCTGAGTCGGTCACGCCGTCTTTGACGACAGTTTCATCAATCACCGCATCCCGAAGATCGCGGATTGACTCAGTGACATCAATCGACCCAGAGCACATATCTGAAACAACCGGAGCCTTGGTCCGACGTCTTCAGGGTCTCGCCTCCGTATCGCAGCCTTCACAGCCTCGTGTCACACTTACGTCAAATCTCATGATGTTGATAGATCTTCACTGCGTATGTGCAATTCCTCCTGCCTCGATGAAGTCGAGAGCAGTTGTCGAGCCGGCAGAACAGACTGGCTATCCTACTGGTGGTTGATCTCAGCTCGGGATTAAGCCGAGAGCGGATTCGGCTACCATCCAATCACATTGCTTTGCACGTGCATACCAAATCCTACACGTGATTCTCTCCAGGAACCGACCAATCAGAATGGAAATGGAAAAAATGGGACTGAATGGTTTTATGCCCGACAGGCGCCACCGTGGGTAGGTTTCAGTCACCAGAGACACCAGTCACGAAGCAGACAACAAGCGGAGAATAAGGTCAGTTTGAAACCAACAAGAAGACCTGGGGTCTGCTAAGCCATGTGTCAGCCATGTCACTTGGGCTTATCAGTGGTCCATGCTGATGCAATCCGGCGCCATGATTAGCCACATCCTTTGTCTTGCGACATTCCACCCGGGCATTGAACATTTACTGATCTATACTGATTTCTTTTAAAGGGTGTTATTGTCTGGGTTCTTTTCAACCCGTCCCAGTACGCGCTGTAGATGTTCACGACCTACGGTTTACACCAAGACATCGCAATGCCGCAGGTGAAAAGCGTTGCAATCATCGGCACGGGGCCGGCTGGGGCTATTGCTGTCGATGCCCTGGCGCAGGAGAAAGCTTTTGACCGAATTCGTGTTTTCGAGCGACAGGAAAAGGCGGGCGGATGCTGGTACGCTTGCTTAATTCTTCTCAATGGCTTTTGGAGAAATTGACACTACGAACAGGGTGGCACGACCAGAGGAGAAAGCGGTCCCTCTGGATGTTGAGAAACTCTCAGCAAGAATAGCTGATGCCCCGCTTCCGATCCCTGAAAGTCTTCCCCAATATACGCCGACATCATCGCAACATCGCTTCACTGACTCGCATGTCTACCCCAATCTGCATACCAATGTGGATGCTGCCACCATGGGGTATTCCCTGGAACCGATCCCAGTTGTTCGCTCTGAATGGTCAATTGGACTTCACGGGCCCGACACACCGTTCCGCCATCATACGGTGATTCGGCAATATGTCGAAGATCTTCTCAATCGTAATGGCTACCAAGATCTGGTTGAGTACAACACCACTGTAGAATCCGCCGTGAAAGATCCTCAGTCTGACCAATGGGTTTTGACCCTCCGACGAGCGGGCAAGCCTGGAGGAGCTGACTATTGGTGGAGCGAAACCTTTGATGCCCTTGTTGTTGCCTCGGGGCATTTCGCAGTACCATACGTACCGGCTATCCCAGGTCTCAAGGAGTTCGTAGAGAAGTACCCCGAGAATGTCTTACACACAAAACAATATCGTGGTCCGGAACAATTTCGAGGCAAGGTGAGTGTGCTTGTCGTTCGATGAATGGGAGTATCGCTGAATATGGTCTACAGAAGGTCGTCACGGTTGGAGCCTCAGTGTCTGCGGCAGACACTGCTGTTAGCCTGATCGGCTCTGCTCAGTCACCCATCTATGCCGTTGTCCGCGGCAAGTACAATCCCTACTTTGGAGACGAAGCATTCAAGCATCCTCAGATTGAGCGGCGGCCACCGATCGCGCATGTCTCCTGCGAGGATGGAGACCGCACTGTTCACTTCGAGGACGGGACCTCGGTCTCAGGCGTCGATTATATCATCTTTGGCACGGGGTTTACCTGGACATTACCATTCTTGCCCAATATTCCGATGAGAAACAACCGCATCCCTGATGTGTACCTCCACGTCTTCCATCGGCAGGATCCGACTTTAATGTTTATTGGAGGCGTATGTACCTCTCCAGGAGTCTGGGCGAATTCTGCTGACGGCAATAGGTTGGCGCCGGATTGACTTTCAAGATCTTCGAATGGCAAGCTGTGGCAGCAGCGCGGGTGCTGGCAGGCAAGGCTCAACTACCGCCGCATGAAGAGCGACAGAAATGGGAGCAGGATCGGATTGCAAAGAAGGGCGATGGGCCGGGCTTCTTGATGATAAATCCCGAGTTCGAGGAATACTTTGAGCAACTCCGCCAGCTGGCAGGCGAGCCGAACGAGGGCGAGCCGGGGCGTAGACTGCCCCCGTTTGAGCAATCCTGGGTCGACCTGTTCAACGCAGGCCACGAGCGCCGGATCGAAATGTGGAAAAAGGCCAATACAACTGCAGCGGGAAGCAGGCTGTAATTGGAACATGTCATGGATTTACAGACAGTAGTCGATAGCAGTATCAGCCGTTACCAATAGACCGATCTGACCACCCTGGATCTTTATTGCCAGCAAAAAAAGCAAATGCGGAGTCGCGCCAAAATCCGGCAAAAAGCAAGCAAGTTAACAAGTTTAGCACAAAATTAGCAGCTTAGCACTGCGCCACAATTGCGCCGATCTGCAGGTCAATTCATTTCTCACCGATAACTCCTCCAATGACACTGTCTGACCCCTCTCGGTCGTCTCCTGCAGCCGGCATCTAATCTAGTTTTCCCGCAGAATCGAATGGTCCGATCCTCCGCGGATGCCACAGGATGATGATGATGTCGACGCATCACGGCTGAATTGAACGTGGGATATTAATTGACCCTTCCCCTCATCCGCACTCGGGGTTCTCGGGTTTCTTGAGTTCTGCTGCAGCAAACAATGCGTTCGACGGTCGCTTCCGGTTTGTTGGTGCTGCCTCTGGTGGCAGCCAAGTCATTGTGGTCTGATTCTCCGGGCAACTACAGTAGTATCATCACTACAGCCTTTCCTCTGGGCAATGGACGGTTAGGAGGTATGTCTGTTGTTCATCGCACCTGACCTGACGTGAAGATTAATCTGCTCGATAGCAATGCCCATTGGCCTTCCAGGCAAGGAGATTGTCAATCTGAACGTGGATTCTCTGTGGCGCGGGGGCCCTTTCGAAAACCCGGTGCGTGCTCTCAGACCTGATTAAAAAAGCCCAACTTAGCACGAACCAACGTTTTATTCAAGGCCTATACCGGTGGTAATCCGAAAGTCTCCAAAGCCGACGCTTTGCCCGGGATCAGGGAATGGATCTTCCAGAACGGAACCGGCAATGTGACTGCTCTGTATGGAGATTTCCCGGACTACGGCTCCTACCAGGTTTTGGGCAATTTAACCATCGATCTGGGAGAGTTGGGGGCTGTGTCCAACTACCGGCGTAGCCTCGACTTGGAGTCTGGCGTTTACCTGGATCAGTTCAAGACTGGCAATGTCGACATCACTAGGTACGCGCGTACTCTCCTTCCTAAAAGTTTGAGAGAGGGCTGACTGGCGGTATGCAGAGAAGCATTCTGTTCGTATCCGGATCAAGTCTGCGTCTATCGACTAGCATCCAACCGATCCTTGCCGACAATCACTTTCGGGCTGGAGAATCAGCTCTCGTCTCCAACCCCGAATGTAACCTGCCAGGGGAATAGCATAAGTCTGTACGGCGTCACCGCGCCTACCATTGGCATGATCTACAATGCCCGAGCGACGGTAGTTGTCCCCGGAGCGAAAACCTCGAGCAACTACTGCTCACGGAACAACGCCACCGTCAACGTTCCCAAAGGTCAACGTGAGGTATTCCTCATCTTCGCCGCCGGGACCAACTATGATGCGGCCAAGGGCAACGCTGCGGCTGGATTCTCATTCCGAGGGCAAGACCCCTACCAGCAAGTGCTGCAGACCGCGACAAGCGCCGCTAAAAAGTCGTACGCGCAATTGAAATCAGCGCACCTGAAGGACTTCCAAGCACTCTCGGGTACCTTCGAGCTCACCCTGCCAGACCCGAACAACTCCTCCAGCAAGCCGACCACGGAGCTAATTGACTCGTATACGCTGCCCGGGGATCCGTTCGTCGAGAACCTGCTATTCGACTACGGTCGATACCTCTTCATCTCCTCCTCGCGGCCAGGAAGTCTGCCGCCCAACCTGCAAGGGCTGTGGACGGAGTCCTACTCCCCCGCGTGGAGCGGCGACTACCACGCCAACATCAACCTGCAGATGGCGCACTGGGCCGTCGAGCAGACGGGTCTGGGGGAGTTGACGGAGCCGCTGTGGCGATACATCACGGAGACGTGGATGCCGCGAGGGGCGGAGACGGCGGAGCTGTTATACGGGGCCAGCTCCGGGTGGGTGACGCACGACGAGATGAACACTTTTGGGCATACAGCGTGAGTCTTTTCTGTTTGCATCCTCACAGCATACCCAAGAAGCTAATCCTGTGCAGCATGAAAAACGACGCGCAATGGGCCAACTACCCCGTCTCGAACGCCTGGCTCGCCCACCACGTGTGGGACCACTTCGACTACACGCAGGATTCGGCCTGGTACGAGGAGACGGGGTATCCGATATTGGCCGGGGTGGCCGAGTTCTGGCTGTCGCAGCTGGTGGAAGACGAATACTTCCACGACGGCACCTTGGTCGTCAACCCGTGTAACTCGCCTGAACATGGTCCAACCGTATGCCCCCATACCCCAAATCCCCCCAACCATCACCCTCCCCCTAACCAACCCGATGAATATAGACATTCGGCTGCACGCACTACCACCAACTCCTCACCGAACTCTTCACCCACCTCCTCACCACCCCCTCCCAAAAGACCACCAACAACGCCCTCCCCACAACCCTCTCCAAAACCCTCCCCAAACTCTCCCCCGGCCTGATAATAGGCTCATGGAACCAAATCCAAGAATGGAAACTCGACCTCGACACCTCCGACGACACGCACCGCCACCTCTCCAACCTCTACGGCTGGTACCCCGGCTCCTCCATCTCCAGCCCCTATGGCCGTAACACCACCGTCACCGCCGCCGTCACTACGACCCTGATCTCCCGCGGCAACGGCACGGAAGACCAGAACACGGGGTGGGCGAAAGTCTGGCGCAGTGCGTGCTGGGCCAACCTCAACGATACCGCCAACGCGTACGCGGAGCTGACCCTCGCCATCCAGGAGAATTTCGGGCCGAATGGGCTGAGTCTCTACGGGGGCAGTGTGCCTTTCCAGGCGGATGCGAACTTCGGGGTCGTGGGCGCCGTGCTGGAGTTTCTGGTGAGGGATCGAGATCTTAGTTATGCGCGTTGGGAACTGGAAAATAATGGGGGGGCGGGGGGGAAGGTGGTGCAGGAGGTGGTGTTGGGGCCGGCGATTCCTGAGGCTTGGGGGAATGGGGAAGTGAAGGGGGTGAGGGTGAGGGGGGGTGGAAGGGTGAGTTTTGGGTGGGATGCGGAGGGGGTAGTGGATTGGTGTGTTTTCGAGGAGGAGGGGAGAGCCGGGGGAGTGGAGGAGGTGAGGTTTTTTGTGAAGGGGGGTCGGGGGATTGAGTGTTGAGGTTTGAGGTATTGGGGTTGGTTGTGGTACCTTGGTCGGAGAGGGATTTGGGCAGATAAGTTGGTGGTTTTGTTGAAGCCGAGTATAGTTAGTCAGTAGTATACAAGAGTTGCATGGTCCAGCTAACACACCCGGGTACACACCCCAGTAACCAGAACAACCCCTATGATTGACCTACTGCGGTGCAGCCACGGCAAAATGGCTTAATAGACGGAAAGCGGGGCATTCATACAACACATGTCCTCGTCTTTATCCATTCATCTAGCCGGTCCATACACTGTACAGTCAGTCCCTACTTTCACATCCGACATCATACTCCGAGTCAACAACCGCATGACTTTCCCCAACAGAATCCACGCCATACCCGGCCTGGCAGGCATCGGCCTCGCCGTCCCGCCATCCTAACCGCCCGGACCCAGGAAGGGAGAATCCTCATCACCCATCTCGAGATCACCGACCGCCCCGCCGTCGACGTCTGGATCCATCAGACGGTCACGCACTTCGGCCGCCTAGACGGCGCGGACAACATGGCCGGCAGCACGGCATGGGCGCGCTGACCTCTCCGACTCCGACGAGTGGGACCGGCAGCTGCGCGTCACCCTGTACTGCCTGCGGCCCGAGGTGCGCGCGATCCAGCAATCCGCACTTCTTGGGGTGGGGGGTTGTGGGCTAGTCTAGGGGAGTAGGTGGTGGTGTGTCTGTCCGAAAAGAGCTAGCTAATTTTATGGATGAGTGAGAGGCTCGATTCAAACACCGGTGTTGGATCAGGCGGTCGAGATCCAGGGAGGGAAGCTGAATACTATGCCTACCGTCTTTGCTCGGTTGAAGACGGCGGATGAGGTGGCGGAGTCGGTGGTGTCCTTGTTGAGTGATGCTCGCTCGAATACCACGGGGCAGGTGTTGAATGTGGATGGCGTGGGATTCCTGAGATGGCTTTATACAGGTGGTAGCATTAGTCGGGTTTGTACAGTAAGTCCGACTCCAGTAAATAACGTGCTGTATAGCGCTGATGAGACGCCAGGCCTCAACTCTAATAAAAATTATCGTGTCATATCGTCGTCTCGTTAATGTGGGTGAGATGCAAATTCCTCGAGGCGGACAGCAGGGCTTCAACTGTGTAGCCGGAGGTATCCCCAAATGACTAAACTCATTATTAGTATAATGCATGGAAAGGGGAATGGGGACATACCAAGGAATGAGAACGCATGAAGCGTATAATCAGGTCCAAACACGGCTCCGCTGCTTTCGCTCGTTCCGGTGCTGTTGTCGCTGCAAATCGCCGTCAGCGGGGTCAGAATGAGCAGATCGAGATACATACCCAGAAACAGCGACTGGCCACCCGTCTTGGTAGTCGAGGTAATTCCATCCCAACTGCGCGTCCTAGAGTCGGAGTCAACCAGAAATCTCCCCTCACGGTAGATCTACCTACTCACGGTATCCTTGAACCCAATCGAGGTATTGACTAGGGTCAAGTTAGCAAGACATCCGGCCAAACCGACGAGAGCCAACCCACGGTAATGATAGTACAGAACATCGGAATCCCCATCGGCAGCAGACAGAACCCCAACACCCCCAGGAGCATACACGGTCCCATGGTTCGAGCCATAGACCACCGTCCCGCCTCCGTCTGTCAATTGCCGTCCATCCTTATCCACAAACGGCCCCTGGACATCCTTCGACCGTCCGATCCGAATGCTATACCTGTTACACGCACAGTCAGAAACACAGCCCCGTCCATTGCACAAATCTCAGATTAAAACGTACTCCTTCCCCACAGCAGGAAACCCATTTTGGAATCCACAGCACTTGCCATGACTGAACCAAACATAGTAATATGGCTCTCTGTAGCTCATAAACGACCCCTCGACCGGCTTCACCTTCTCATCGGGCACGTAAACCAGATTCGTCGTCGCATTCTGGCGCTCCGGCTCCGTGACCGAGAGCAAGTCCGCGGCCAGCGGCACTAGGTAGATCCCATGCCAGTAGCTCCCATACAGCAGGTACGGCTGGCCCGTGGCCTGGTCCTTGGTGAAGGCCGGGTCGATGGCGTTCGAGACGGTGTATGGGTAGCTCTCCGACCCGTTACCCTGGCCCGTGTTGATGACGGCCCCGTAGTCCGACCAGCGGCCAGGATCTAACTGGGTGGCGGTCGCCACCCCGATGGCGCTGTTGCGACTGCCGGCTTTGCTAATCGAGTAGAAGCAGTAGAAGGTGTTGTTCCACTCGACGGCGGTGGGCGCCCATGGGCGGCTGCGGTTCTGTTTCTGGATCTCGCTGGGTCCGTCGAGGACGGTGCCGAGCTGCGTCCAGGGTCCGTCCAGGGACTGGGCCTTGTACATGGGGAGGTGGACTCCGCCCTTGAAGAGCCAGTAGGCCCCGTCGTGGCGGAGGATGTTGGGGTCGTGGACGGCCACATTCCCTACGTTGGGGAGAGGGTATTTAGTCGTCTTGGAGAAGGACGAGGACCCGGTCGGTGCCGGGGCGCTGCTGGGCTGGGGACTGCCATTGACCGCGTGGAGGAGGATGATCCCAGTCAGGAGGGTGAGAAGATGCATTGACGCCGTCTGTTTCGCATGTGATGTGCGATAAATCGGACCGCGCACTGGGGGGAAGGGGTGTCAATTTAAGATGAGAATCAGAGTGGGCCAGAGCCTATCAGTGGATTACACTAATATATGCTAGTTCGAACTGGCCGAATGTAGGTTCAATGGATGTGCAATGGCTGCGAAGACTGCGGGACAGCCTCAATGGGCCGCTTTGGCGACAGCCATCTTCTTCATTGGATACGGGACACAGAGCAGACTAAATGGTAGTCTAGACCAGACCCTAAATACCAGGTAGGCAAAGTGGGCCAGACTCCACGGGGGAGAACAAATAAAAGCTGGTGCCTAGAGATGGATGCAGTGATGAAAGTGTGGTGTAGACAAGCAGTCATTGAGAGTAAACCCCAGAATAGGTAAACAGTCTGCATCAACTGGAGGGCCCTGTAATGGACTGTACTGTACTGTACTGTACTGTACTGTACTGCAGGCACCCTATCTCTTATCTCCCGCTCTGAGACAACGGAGATTTGCTGGTAACCAAGGTAATTACCATTCAGGGGCTCAGATACCTACTGTATACTCGAGTACGTCAATGAAACTGTGCCGCATTCTAGATCACTTATTCTGCTATTTTTGTATCTGCTAAGCTTTAAGGTACTCTGTGTACTGTATTAAATGAGATTCGTTATACAAGTAGTACATACATGGCATCCAGTGTTGACCCTGGAAAAACACACTGTAACTTGGCTCCGCATCATGCAGTACAGCCATTGCTGCAGAGACATTGGATTTGCATCGTCAAGCAATCACACCACTGACTGGCATTCAATGCAGGTCTACGTCAAGGGCGTCACTCAATGCCCCAAGCAAGGGACCTCAACTGACGTACAGAATCAATCACTTACTGCCTTTCGCAAGACGATCAACAACCCCACCACCCCCAAACCCCCAAGGTGTTCGTTCCGTTCTTGCATCATCCCTGCATAAACCACATCTTGTGGGCTATCGGTTGCAATATTCAGTGGCTCAGGATCTCTCCTTGATAAGGTTGATTGATGATTGCGCACCGTTGACAATGAAAACAAAACCAGGCTGGGAGCGAAGTGAGCCCAGATGTGGGTGCATGACTATTCAGTGACATCGATGCGATGCCGTGGATCGTCGCTCAACCCGATCGCATGGCGTCACCGCCACGACGATCTTCACCGTCTGACTAAGGCAATCAGAAGAGCATTCAGATGATACAGGTGATCGATTGTATGAGTATTTGTACAGTGCAAACCATCATCGTCGTGATAGGGCATTAGGTAATAAGGGAAGGTGGTGGGCATGATTTTTCTACTCTTACATCATGGCTAGAACGTTATGCCCGTCAAGTCGGCCCAGTCAAAGGAGTCGAGAAACGGGTCTACAGCGGGCTAGACAGATTGATTGTTAGCGAGATGAGAGAGAAAAGGTAGATCGAACTAACCACCATGCCAAAGGTCCCCGGCTGCCCTACAGCTACGTCTGGAACAAAGGGCGGCGCCATCCCAGGGCCGGCGTTCAAACTCGGAACCTGGAATCGTCAGGATGAGCTGCGGTATAAGAGAGACTCGGTCGCTTACCTGGTTGGTCTTGAAACTGCCCATGCCCCAGTCTCCCAGATGAGCGCAGTTGGCATGTCGGGTGAAGAGTGTCTGCGCGAATAGAATCACACGCTCCACCACTTCTTGCTTGTAAACATGGGACTGGCTTGGCCAGAGAGTGGCTTTCACCAGCGCCAGAATTGTCGACATGAAGAAGTATTCTTTCGCTCCCTTCACCACAAGAAGGAGGCGGGATTCGAGGCAGGTCAAGGCGGTCTCCACCAGGGAGATTAATGACTCGGGGAGCCCAGGGAGGGTACGAGTGAGAGAAGTAGCTGCCCTTAAAATCAGTACCATCCACGAACAGCGCAGAAGGCATAATTGACTGACCGGATTTGTTGTCCTTCTCATGAAGGAGCTGGCATATGGTGCAGTAAGCCTGCACGGTCCATTCTCCCATATTGCAAAGTGACAGCTGGGCCGACCTCTCACGAAGCTGGCGCTGCGTGGAAAGAATCATCGACGCCACTTCGAGGCGGGACCGAGCTGACGGTGCGAAAAGAGCCTCTCTGGGGGCTTCAATGGCAAACGGGGTGTGGATAGACAAAAGCGAGTGGCCGATCTTGTTCTTCAAAAGAGCCCTCATCAAGATCACGCGCTCCGAAGTGCGATGGAAGTCATCAACTTCAGATGTGGGCCATGCGGGGATCTTGGAAAGATGACGATTTAATTCCCAATCCAGACGCATAATCTCTTCGTATCGGCAGCTGATCCGAGGAGAGTGCATCAAGGCACAGGCCTTCAGCCGCAAAGGAAGAGATTGTGTCAGCACCGCCTGGAATGACGAGTCTGTCATTACATCCAGCGGCTTTTCGTCCGGAAGCTCGGTGCTATCGTCGTTGATTTCCGTATCATCGATATTCAACGCTGGGAAGGTATCATAGTCGTCCTCTTGCACCGAAGGGGGCATGCCTCGTTCGAGGGAAATCTGGAGGTCGAGTTCCACGATGGTAGCCCACATTCGTCGGCGCATCTCCATGCTGAACGCGGAAATCTTTGTATATCGACTTGGGTCGCGGTGGTACCCCGCCATCATAGCCCGCTTGACGAGAGTCCCGGTGGCAAGCCATGCCTGACTGCGTTTCATGCCATGGATATTCAGAGCAATGATGAGCAGAGTCTGCAGACGGAGGGTAGCGAGCTCGGGTCGCTTGAAGTTGGCATTTTCGATCCACTTCTCTGCATGGAGAATCCATTCAATGGCAGTATAGCAGGTGAGGGGCGCCTCATTCTTCATTTGAAGAGTATTGAGGTCCGCGAGATTCCACGCACAAGCCAGCACCAAGAGCAGTTGAACCACAAAGACGGTCGAGGTCATGTCGGGGCTTTCCCGCTGTGCCCAGAACTGCTCCAGCTCCTCGAAGAACGAGGGCATGTGCAGGATGCGATGGGTGGACTCGATATAGATGCAATACAAGTAGACCAACTCGTCGACGACTGCGCGAGCTGGAAGCATGGTGACTAGTGACTGCATGGTGGGCATGGGGAAGGGCTCATTCAAAGGTTTCCGCTTCCAGAGACCCTTTTTGACTCTGATGAGATCCGGTCGCAAGGCCGAGAGATGCGGGCTGGCAACCCTGATCTCTTCGGCAAAGGCCCTGAGGTCGGGGAACTAAAGCATGCAATCAACATAAAGTGACTCGTGGCAGGGCCAATCAGATCGTAGGATTGTTTGTCCCTCGGACGTGGGTTGGTGGATGGCATACCTGAGCTATCAGATTGGCAAATATGCCCGAGCCATTGTAACGAGTCTTGGTCTCTCGCCCTCGCATCATGATCCGCGGGGAGATATCCAGCTGCTGCGTCGGCGAGGCCAGATCTTCGTCGTCCTCGGCGGGGTGCGGCTGGGTGTCCTGGTGAGGCTCGAAGACCTGTCGCGGCCGATGCAGCAGGCTGGTATTTGCATAAGGTTCTTGGTTGACGGCGGCCTTGGGGGCGCCGAGAACGGTTTCTAGAAACTTATCGCGTCTCTCCTCGCCGGGACGTGAGTCCCTGGAGGATGGTTGAGGCCGAGTCGGCAAACTACTTATCCCCGAGTCCGGGGTAGGGTGGGCAGTCGCCCGATCAGTCTGGGCCATTTGTGTCGTGGCTGTGGGACCTCTCTCGGAGAAAACGGGGGAAGCAACTGTATTGGGTTGCTGCCAGAGAAATCCATCCTCGTAGGTGCATCGGGTTGGGGTTTTGCTCTTTTGACAACGTCCGCATACGGGATATTCACGGTCGCAACGGAGCTTCCTGCTGCGGCACTGCATACACGCCATTGTCCGTCGGCGTCGCTTGCGCACTCGATGCTGTTGCTGTTGCTGTTGTTGCTGCTGTTGTTGTTGTTGTTGTTGTTGTTGTTGTTGTTGCTGCTGCTGTTGTTCTGGTTGAGAATTTGGAGCCGAAGCTGCCAATTTCAACTGAACGTCAGCCATCATTGGAGAGAAGAGGGGGTGGATGCGCAGTGGTAAAAGGATGAGAGGGAAGTGAGAAACGGAGGTAGGTATGCGCACCACCGCCAAAATGTATTGGGGGCAGATGGGGGTCCACGGTGGGAATGGGGTGGAGGACCGCAGGCAGAGCGAGTGAGATTGGTGGATGGTGGCTTACGTGTTTGGCACTGCCGGCCATATCCACCAAATGGGGCAACCTGACCCGGTGGGCCTGGTTTCACACCTTTCCAAGAACAAGAACAATCGCCGATGTGTAGGCAGAGACAATTCTTAGTTTCTCGCTCCGAACAGTTTCTCAATCATTATGTGTGGCACAACTGCACAATCGATTGTCTTTCGTCTTCTTTCACTTCCACAAAAGATCCGTTGGCAGTTTCGCCGAGTAGCCAGTAGGGAATGATAACCCAGTAAAAATGGCGCAGCCGCCAATTTCCTCCGGCTTGGTTTTACCTCGCACGCACATAACTTCGCTTTAAACCTACGGTCGGCTCTTCCGTGATTGTTGATTGATTGTTTCAGTCGCATTCTCTCAGACATTCGCCAGAACATTCGCAGCAATTTAACCAGACTGGGGGATGAACAACCAGGATTTGCCTAATGGGGTTTAGTGATGAGAAGGATTGAAGGGTCCAGAGCTGCAGGCAGGCAAGCAATTGGAAACACGGGCCAGAGTCCCACTGCCACGAAGAGGGGCGAGGGGCTGGTGCAATTGAATGCATTGCATTGTCAACGGGTCTAATCTTTGGGTACTCAGTATTTATGGTTCTCGGCTCAATTGAGTGCGATAGAGTTATGGAGCCGGAGACTCGAAATTGACCAGTGGCCGCACTGCAGTGCCAATAACTAAGCAACGCTTTGCTTCAATCGTCTGCAGCCAGTCAAGTGAGTCAACTATAGTTCGCCGGAGGAAGCTAAGTTACCGTACTGTATGTGGTCCACGACTCAAACTAACACATTATGGCAATGACAATGACAGTAGACGTGTAGCTGCAGCCTACCGTTTGACAGGTCGCCGTCATTGTCTCCGAGACATACCTTACTCGAAGTTAAATTCCACGC